ATAGGTTGGAGGGATATAGGTTGGAGGGATATAGGTTGGAGGGATATAGGTTGGAGGGATATAGGTTGGAGGGATATAGGTTGGAGGGATATAGGTTGGAGGGATATAGGTTGGAGGGATATAGGTTGGTGGGATATAGGTTGGAGGGATGGTTGGAAGAAATACAGGATGGAAGGATTAAGGTTGGTAAAGAGTGATAAATATAGAAAGGGATTGGCAAAAATAACTTTGAACCTGAGAAAGAAAAAAAAGTAATACAGGGTAACCCACAAATGATGAGACTTCAGAGACGACTGTACGGAATTTACACTGTCTGTTTCTATTCTCTATATTCAGGAATCCCTGTCACTTTGAACTTGTTTCTTTCTTTGCCCATTCATTAAGTAAGATATTTTATGACTGTTTTTAAGGCAGAGAACTCTTAATTCAACTTCATAGATCAATACATTTTATTGTCGTCTTTACAGTCTCATTCTAATTGGGTCACCCTGTATGCAAACTACTATGTAAAGTACTAGCACATGTTTTGACAAGAATATTTCTTGACAAAAATGATTTAGAGCACAATGTGAGAATTTCTTTAATTGATTAATTGGCCGGTTGGTGGATTCTACTTAGTACAATAAGAAATATGTAGAATACAAAAAAATACCTAACCCTATTTCTCTGGGTTTCTGCAAAACCTATATATTAGGGGCGTGGTTGAGGGGGGGGGGAGGTTCAAAATAACCTCTTGATTTTATGAATAATATAGCCAAATATAACAAGTGATACACTTTTGGAAAACTAGCATATTAGTCTCACTATCTGGTAAAATTCTAAACTTTATTATAATTTCAATTAAAATAAAAAGGGCTTGAAAAATTGTGCACATTTTTAATTTATATGATTGAAAATATTTCAATTCAAACAGGTTTATTTAATTGGTTTTCTCTCACTAGACTCAGAAAAATAATTTTATCCTGGAACTGTTTACCAGTATAAAACATTACGCAGAACAATTTACTTTTCTAAAATCTCTAAAACGTCTTCAATGTTTTCATCGTTAAATCTAAATAAGGGGGGGGGGGGTATGGGCATATTGTTATATGGGTTTAGTCCTTGTCTAAGCTGTGACACTTTTTCCCATGTTTACCTTTTAAACATAATTTTTTTACTTTTGCTTTTTTCTAGTTTTTGTTTGCGGATGCAAATTAAATTAAAAGTAAGGCAAAAGGCTGTAAGTTTACAGATTGTTGAATAATATTTAGCCAAAATATAGCCAAAATATAGCCAAAATATAGCCAAAATATAGCCAAAGTATAGCCAAAGTATAGCCAAAATATAGCCAAAATATAGCCAAAATATAGCCAAAATATAGCCAAAATATAGCCAAAATATAGCCAAAATATAGCCAAAATATAGCCAAAATATAGTCAAAATATAGTCAAAATATAGCCAAAATGTAGCCAAAATATAGCCAAAATATAGCCAAAATGTAGCCAAAATGTAGCCAAAATATAGCCAAAATATAGCCAAAATGTAGCCAAAATATAGCCAAAATAAAGCCCAAATATAGCCAAAATATTTTCAAAATATAGCCAAAATAAAGCCCAAATGTAGCCAAAATGCGATTAAACCTAAATTCAAAATGAACGAATCTAGCCTGTAGTCCAAGGTGGGGTTTGGTGTCGCCTCCAGCTCTCAACTAAAACGCTTTCCTTTTTGAAACTAAAAACACTTACTCTCATAATATAGCTTCTAAAAATTTTTTACTATTTTTTTAATGCATGAACATGGTCGGGAATGGCATACAGATTTGTTGGAAAAGAATATTTGAAGCTAAGCAAAAAATCTTAAAAATTAAAATAATTTTGTTTCAAGGAGTGGAGGAGGGAAGCATGGGAGGGGAGAAGTAGGGTATATGATGTATTTCAGATTATCTACCCTTTAAGGGATTATAACAAATATTTTTAGCAGTTGTGTGCAATCAGCATAAATATGAAATTATATTGTCAGCAAAAATTTGTTTTTATCGCGTCTACAATCATGTTTTTGTATTTCAGACTTAAACATAAAACTTTCTTTATGGATCCTTTAAAACTAATGGAATTGAGTATTTGCCACAAAAATAAGATAAATAACATCAAACAATTCAGTGTGCTTTACAGGGTTAAATGCGAGTCTGGCGGTTAATGGGTGGGGGGGGGGGGGGTACTCCCCCCCCCACCCCAGACGTACGAATGAATCTATTTGAATCTAAAGTACAATCTTTTACTAAACGACACGTCTGTTTACTTTATACCCGAGGATTAAACTGAAATACAATTTATTGCCTAAAAACTTGTAGAGTGTAGACCGGCCAAGAATATAAATTTAAGAAACCAACTGATACATTCAGAGTGTAAAAACTGAAAAGGCAAACAAGTAGTAACTAACAAAACTAAAGTCGTTAAAAACATTATTTTAAAATACCCCCCCCCCCGGGAATCTAGCCATGGCTACTTTATTTTTCTTCCTTTAGTTCATGTTAAAACGGTCCGAACATTTTTACTGTAGATTGGATGGACAGGGATTCCTAAAAGAATGAATTTTGTTTTACATTCTGAAATTCAGTTATCCAGAATAAATAAAGTAGGTACAAACTAGCAAACTCCAGACCAAAACTGAATAAAATCTGAAAATTTCTTGGTTTAAAAAATTTGTTAAAAACTTTTGTGGTTTATCGCAGATTTCTTAGCTTACTTGCTACATATGATTAAAATATCAACCTTTAGAAGTTAAGAAAGTCTTTTTTAAAGATTTTCAGGTTTTGATTTTAAAGTATCGTCCATTGTGGGTAACCCTGTGTGCCTGTACCTACCCATATATTGCAGGATCTTTGAGTCCCAATAGTACACTGCCTGAGGACAGTATAAACCTTAAACTATATCACGTTCTTGGAGCATGGACGAGTTCTTTAGGAGTTTTTACGAATTCATCGCTCGCAGGGCACTCAGACTTAACAGTTCCCTATCGCAGCTAGATGTGACTTTCGATCACAATTTGAAAAATCCAAATAAATTGTTTGCTTTTTATCTTTTTTATTATTTATTATATTGTTGAATTTTAGACCAAAAAGCAATTTTATCCAAATTAAGAAAACAGACTGCAGATCTATCCCTGGTTAGTCCAGGCCGTGATGGAGGGGGACTACCCCCCCCCCCCTGGAACTCGTTATTGATGCTTTATGGAACTGTATTTGTAATTACTGACCCTCCATGAAAATAAGATAATGCCCAATTCACAACGGTACCTGTAAAAGTTTTATCTCATAGAGTATCAATTACATATTAACGTTTATAATTTTGAAAAATAATTATTTTTAATTGTTGTTTCTCTACAAAAGTATTTCTAAAGCATAAAACATTCTTGAGTTATCAAAATGAAACACTAAAATCCTTAAGAAATATCAATTTCTTCCAAGCTCAATCAAAGCATTTAAGGCCGGGTACTGTTATGAATCGGGCATTAGCGTATTTGCATGGAGGGTAGCTTGAAATGGCGACAAACATTATAGAAATCCAACGTTATAGAAATCGCATGGTATAGCAACAAGCCGTATTTTCCGGGAGAACATTTTTTATATTTTTGAGAAATTAAATAATCAGTGCAAAGGAGATATAATTTTCATAACATCATTTAATTTAAATGGTGACACGGAATTTCATGAAATAATATTAGCATTATTGGAGAACTTTTTAAAAATATTTTTGAGAAAATTGTTTTTTGTACAAATAAAACTGTAACACGAAATTTTGTGTAACCATATAATCATTCATTTATGTTGTCAGTAGTACGTAATAAAGTCTGGGGGAACCTTAAACACAATAGAGAGCAGTACAAATGTACATATTAATCTAGTTAGTTGTATGTGTCTAGGGTATGCAAAAAAATAGAAATAATGATAATGATAATGATAAAGTTTTACAAAAACATTTAATTTATCAAAAATTTAAAAAAGTCTCCCGGAAAATACGCCAATTGTTGCTATACCTAGCGATTTCTATACAGTGGATTTCTATACATTGGATTTCTATAATTTTTGACGCCGCTTGTACTTACGCTTGCTGTCTCATAAGAAAGGTTTGGGTTTCCCATGGCTTAACATGAAGTCATCACGTACACTGTTAGTTTGACATCTTTCAGCAAAATTTCCATTTTTTACTTTTTTTACTATCATACCCATAGCTTTAAAACTGGGCACTTTTTGAATATTAATTTTTTCCCGAATGATTTTGCTCATATAGAGATTTTACATGATTTCAGACAACGTTTTGAAAATTTTACAAATATATTTGCATATTTGAAATAGCATGCTTAAATTTAAATTTTAGCACGTGTTGCACAACCTTTTTGCAAACATTTTTGTTTTATAACTAGATGTTCCTAAATATATCTGGATTTTAGAAAATTGATATGAATTTTTTTTTTAAAGTTTCAACTCTCATGACTTCTTGCTGTCATCGCTGCTGTTCCAAACCTTGTTAAGCTTGTAAACTCAAAAGTTTCCACCCGAAGTAAAGAATTTGAATTGTGTGTCCGTATAGTAGTTAAACATGTGTTCGTGAATCTGGTTAATACCAGATTTAAATTCGGGCCAATTTATAAATATCTTACCTTACTCCCATATCAAATATATAATCAAATATGTACAAGATGTTCTATCATAAATATAATTAATTTAGACTTCATTAAAATCCAATTAATTAATTTGCAGCAAAAATTTAAGTTATTTTTTTGCGTGGAAAAGTCAGATTGGGTAAATAAATGTCGTCTGACATTAAATATTTCAAACTACGAAATCAGGCGACATTATTGATTACAATAGATTTCATTCTAACGAGATATCTCTTGTGATTAATTTAAACTTACAGAAATTTCTTGAAAATATAAAGTCGTCGGAAACCCAATTAATTCGAAAAAAATAAAAGTTTTTTTATTGCATGGAAAGGTCAGGATAGGTAAATCATGATTCAGAAATATGAGAGGAATTAAGTCTTATGTAACAAACTATGGGTTTCTAACAAAGAGAATAGAATATATTTTAGAGAGGAATTTACTAGAAAAAAGTGTAAAACGGCCATTTTGTTGTACTGTTTCCATACTGCAGTTTACATCACATATTTGCGCTTTATAACCTTTTGGGCCCTGGAACATCATTTTATAGAAAATCTAAAATTAATGTTCAGAAAACCATAATTATGAAATAGGCTGGTTTCATATATTGACCAATGATCATTTCACGAGGATTTTTCGTAGTAACAATAAATCAAATGATGTTTTTTATTCACCTAATTCATTTTATTAAGTTTATTGAACAGCTTTAAAAAAATTCTAGATTGAAATGGATGGAAAGTCTAGGGAACATACTGTTTTAATGTACTCTACTGCATATAATTTGTGAACATTTACATGATTTGTACACTGTGAACTCCCTTTCAGGCTGAAAGGGACTGACAAAATTCATACCGAGGGATTGTCTAAATTCCACTCTAATATATTCTATTCTCTTTGGTTTCTAATCACTATGTTTTGCAACAGAATACTAGGTATTTCAAACTACGAAATCTGTTAGATCAGATAAAAAAGTTTGAAAATAAAATTTTTACACCATTAAGTCACAAATATTGAGGGATTAGAAAATTTGAGTTTGTGGCAAAGGCTAAATTCCTCTCATCAAAAATGCAAACAATCAAAAATGCAAACAATTAAAAATGCAAACAATCATAAATGCAAACAATCAAAAATGCAAACAATTAAAAATGCAAACAATCATAAATGCAAACAATCAAAAATGCAAACAATCAAAAATGCAGCAGAAAATTAGTTTTTGACGTTTTATGGAGAGTAGGGTTTCCAACGTAATAGATTATTCTCTTACGCGTAATTACGTGCAGTTACGCGTAATAATTTTCATTTCGTGTAATTTCGCAGGATTACGCGTAATTGGGGAAATATCCATTTCGCGAAATTACGGCGTAATTTCGCGTAATTTCTACAACGTAATTTCGCGAAATACGTAATTACGCGTAACGAAATTACGACTGGAAACCCTAATGGAGAGTGTATTTATCTTTCGTTTCTTCTCACGATATATTAATCTAATTAAATCTAATTATGGTTGATCGATGAACATGTTTTTTGGCAAACGCACTTTTAAAATAGAAAGTACGTTTAAAATATTACCTAATTTTGATTAGTTTGATATTTTATTTTTTTTTTTATTTTAAAGAATATACTTTGCTTGTCTTTTCTTGTATCTGTCTGGGTATCTGTCCGTTTGTATCCAATAAACGTCAAAACGGCTAAACCGAGCAGGCCCAAATTTTGTGTGGGACCTTACATGACCCCAAGGAAGGTTTACAGATGATCAACATTTCAAAAATTTGCCTCCATCAAATTAAATTAAATTTGAAAGAAACACTTTTTTTTAAATCCGGAAACTTTTTTTTACAATGAGCGTGAAGCGCCCTAAAAGCCTAGTGTTTTAATGTTTGATATCATTATTATCACTATAATTCGATAATATCTATGTATATACTTTGCTTGGGTGTCTGTTTGTTTGTATTCAATAAACGTCAAAACGCGCGACTGAACCAATAGGGCTCAATTTGTTTTTGTGGGACCTCGCTTGACCCCAGGAAAGGTTTATTGATGATCGAATTTTCAAAAATTTGTCTCTAACAAAATTGGATTTTTGAAAATTTTGAAAATCCACTAATGTTTTTTTATAAAATCCGTGAAAATGTATACAAAGAGAACATGTTCACAATTGAAATATAGGATGGGCGCGAAGCGCCTAAAAGCCGAGTGTTTTAATATTTGATATTATTATGACTATAATGCGATAATATCTAAATATATCCTTTACTTGGGTGTCTGTTTTTTTGTATCCAATAAACGCCAAAACGGCTGAACCGATTGGGCTCAATTTTTTTGTGGGACCTCGCGTGACCCCAGGGAACGTTTATGGATGCTCGAACTTTTTAAAATTTGTCTCTAACAAAATTCGATTTTTGAAAATTTTTAAAATCCACTATATTTTTATAAATAAAAGTCGTGAAATTTGTTTTTTGTTTTGTTTATAATTTATACGAAGATAACATGTTCACAATTGAAATATGAGGTGGGCGCGAAGCGCTCTAAAAGCCTGGTGTAAAATATTTCAAGATGTAGTTTAAAAATTGAAATTATAATAGTAAAATAGACTAACTTTAAAAAACTGCACTTTAAAAGTTGTTAAGAAAATAAAACAAAAAATTTAAAACTGCGCATTTTTCCTAGCAATAATAATACTATGGAATCTTTTTTATGTTGAAATTTTTGAAAACCAAATTTAAATTCCGAGTTTAAAAGTTTCATACCTCTTTCACGACAATACCACCTTCAGATCTAAACAACAATATGAGAGATATTGTGTTTTTCTTTCTTCAAAATGGTGAATTTTGATAATTTTATTCCTTCCCTAGCTCTGCCTGATAAAACTGCAGGTAGCCAAGAACCTTATAATAACAATCGAAAACTAAGATATTTTAGACAGATAAACAAAGGTTTTATAAAGTAATACTGCTCTTAGATCAGGAATATCTATGGAGGGGTGCCTAGTTACGTTCACAGACCATATAAGGTTCTCAAACAAGGGGTTCGAGGAGTCCTGTTTTCAGTTAACTAATTGTTGTAAGAAAAAAAAACTAATCAAAAAAAGGTTCTGAGTTTTTACCACAAACTCTTTTAATCCGGATATCATTGCAACCCAATGTCACAGACCTTTGATATTTCAAACCATTAATTATGTTACAAAACACATAATCTAAGTATTAAAGGTTTCCATAATTAGGTTGCTAAGATTTAAGGATTAGAACATTTGAGTTTGTGACAAAAACTCAGAACTTTGAAATCAGAATAAACCTGAAGAAAACTTCCTTTCAGGCTTCAGATGATGGTGGACTTGATTCTGGCGAAGAAGGAGAAGAAGGAGAGGAAGGAGAGGAGGGGGAGAAGGAAGGACGGAGTGATCCTGCATGTAAAGTAAACTTTCTACAAATCTTAGATATCGAAAGAAGGTAAAATGAATTTTAAAGGGACTGTTAAGGTAAAATGAAAGGGGGTATAGGCTGAAGCCTAAACATTTTAGGAGTTGATCGCAACTAATATTAGTTCTATCTGATGTCGCTGTCTCGAGGAGAAATTTATATAAAATTCATAGAGAATAGAATATATATTAAAGGGGAATTTTAAGAATCTCTCGGTATGAATTTTTTCAGTCCCTTTCAGCCTGAAAGGGAGTTCAAAGTGTACAAATCATGTAAATGTTCACAAATTATATGCAGTAGAGTACATTAATACAGTATGTTCCTTAGCCTATTCATTTCAATTTCGAATTTTTTAAACTGTTAAATAAACTTTATAATGAATTAGGTGAATAAAAACATCATTTGATTTATAGTTATAACCGAAAATCATCGCTTGTAAAGTGGAAGGCATAGAGTCTATGTGAAATGATCATTGGTCAATTATGAAACCAGCCTATTTCATAATTTGGTCTAATATATATTCTATTCTCGATGATAAAATTGCGTCAAAGTTACACAAAAGCTTATAACAATCCTTTCAAAAAAAAAAATTCTGCTAAATTTTTAAAACTTATCTGAAAACAAAAATGCTAAATGTCTAGACAACTGAACAAATAATTAATAATTAATAATTTTTTGCTTGTACACACACAAGCAAATAAATTAACAATGATTAGCCAAAAAGTTCACAAATCTTTTAATGTCTTTTTATTTGATGTTACCACTGCAGGGAAACACTTACAATTTGTTTTCTGTTCTAGATATCAGAATGTTCGTCAGTATAAGCGCAGGAACAGTAGGGATTTAATGAAAGATGGGGACAAAGTACGAAAAAGAAAAGGGAAGAAAAGAAATAATGGAAAATATATCACTATCCAGGTACTACATGGTGTCCAGATAAACATGGGGGGCTAAAAATAAGTTGTCTTTGTATATTATTTTATAAGGAAGTTCTCTTATTTTTGTATGTTTGAAGTTTTAATTTGATTAAAAAGTAAAAATCACAATAAAAGCTAAAAAAAACATTGCTAAATAGAGCAACAAATAAAGTTTTTTTTTACAAATTTGATCATTCAAAATCTAAACTTTTTAATCTAAATTGATGTTTTTAAATCGATAAATATTCATAAATAAAAGTTTTAGCATTTTATAAAATAAAAAATTTCTAGGAAGAGGCAAAAAAGTCTGGAGATATTGTTCGAGAGCTATTAGGGGATACACTTTCAGGTTTTGATAATTGACAACAATTTTGTTTTGAATTTTGTTCTCAATAAGCTTCTAAAACCCTGATTTATGTATCAGCACTTTCTAAAAGTCATGTTCAACACTAGTCAATTTACCTTAAAAACATCTTAAAATTTTATTACAAAAAGATCTTTTTTTTGTACCACTCAGGTGTTGCAGTTAGATTTGTTTAAATTCTTTATTACTAGGTCATGAACCGCATCAGTTGTTTTCTGAGCTTGTTGAACTACAGCTAGATGAGTGGAAGGAGACAGCACGTTGGGTCAGGTTTGAAGAAGATGTTGAAGAGGGAGCTAACCGGTGGAGTAAACCTCATGTTTCATCACTCTCTCTTCATTCTCTAATGGAGCTGCGGAACTACTTAAAGACAGGGTCAACCTTTCTGGAGCTGGATGCAGAGAACCTAGAGGACATAGTTGACTTTGTCTTAGAGAACCTTATCAGCAACAACAAGGTCACATATGATTTGCGTGACAAGCTGAAGATGATAATTCTTCAGAAGCATCGTCATCAATTTGAAGGAATGAAGAAAATCCGTAGTGATGCTAACATGAAGAAATCATCTTCCTTTGAAACTGGATTCATACTGAATGCTGTGAAGAGTTTTTCTGATATGAGTAAAGTGCATTCAGCAGAGTTGGGTCTTTCTATGAACAAAAGCGCTGACAACTTAGAGGAGGATGCAACTAATAGCCATTTCTTGAAGAAAATTCCTAAAGGCGCAGAAGCTGCTAATATTATGGTGGGAGAAGTTGACTTTCTGACCAGTCCCATTTCAGTCTTTATCAGGCTTGGTAAGGCTGTGAGGCTAGGAGATTTGACTGAGGTAGCCCTCCCAACAAGATTCATTTTCATCCTGCTTGGTCCTCCAATGGAGGCTTCCAGCTTGGATTCTTACAAAGAGGTTGGTCGCTCCATAGGAACCAGTTTCTCTGATGAGGTGTTCCATGAGGTTGCCTACCGAGCAAGAACTAAAGAACATCTAGTGATGGGTTTAGATGAGTTCTTGGATTCTGTGACTGTTCTTCCACCAGGAGAGTGGGATAGAAACACTCGAATAGAACCACCAACCTCAGTTCCAAGTCAGCATGCCAGAAAAGTATCAAGGGCACAGCTGACTGACAGCAATGGGGGAGCACTAATAAAAAACGTAGAGGAAGTTGTTGATGAGGAGGAGGAAAAATACCTTCTGAGGAAGGAGGCAGGATTGGTGGCCAGTGGAAAATTTTGTGGAGGTCTTTTAAATGATATAAAACGTAAAGCCAACTGGTACATCTCTGACTTCAAGGATGCATTGTCTCCACAAAGTGTTGCTGTTGTTTTCTTTTTGTATTTCGCTACCTTGGCACCGACCATAGCCTTTGGAGGAATCCTGGGACAGAATACCAAGAATCGAATGGCCTCCATAGAATCTTTGGTATCTGGCCTCACTGCTGGAGTTATTTATGCCATGTTTGCAGGACAACCACTGACCATACTTGGTCTTACTGGACCTGATCTTGTATTTGAGACATTGGTCTTTGATTTTTGTGAAGGACATGAGTGGGACTACCTCTCTTTTCGTTTATGGATAGGTGTCTGGATAGCAATCATCTTAGTCACTTTGGTTGTGACTGATGCAAGCTCATTTGTCTGTTATATTACAAGATTTACAGAGGAGTGCTTTGCTTGCCTAATTGCAGTTATATTTATCAAGAAATCCCTGGAAAATGTAGCTAATATTGCATCAACACATCCATATACTGTTTCTCCATGCTATTGTAAACCTTTAGACTTACCAGTCAATTGGGAGATATCCTTTGGAGAGATTTTTCACATGCTAAATGAAACTGAAATTGAAGAAACACTTTCTATTTACAATGTTACATCTCGCGGGAGAAAATGCTGGATTGACATGGCTGACAACGACATCTCATTTGGTTTCACATCACCTGGATGTAACTATGCCCCTAATGCATTCTTTTTAAGTGTGATTCTATTCTTTGGGACATACATCATTGCAACATTTCTAAAAGACTTCAAAGATCTCAACTTCTTCCCTGCAGTTGTTAGATCCTACATTTCTGACTTTGCAGTTATCACTGCAATTTTGTTAATGGTTTTGGTAGATGTAGGATTTGGTATTGATACTCCCAAGTTGAATGTACCAAGCACATTTAATCCAACCTGGTCTGGTCGGAGTTGGTTAATCTCTCCTTTTGGTAGAAATCCTTGGTGGTCAGCACTAGCTGCTGCTATTCCAGCTCTACTTGGATCTATCCTCATATTCATGGATCAACAGATAACAGCTGTTATAGTAAACAGAAAGGAGAACAAGATGGTCAAAGGAGGAGGGTATCATTTGGACCTTCTTGTCCTTGCATGTACTATTGTTATAAACTCTGTGCTTGGTATTCCCTGGTATGTTGCTAGCACAATTCTCTCTATAACTCATGTTAAATCCCTCCAGAGGGAGTCTGAAACTTCAGCACCTGGAGAGAAAAGAATCTTCCTTGGCATTCGAGAACAACGTGTAACAGCCATCTTTGTTTTTATTCTTGTAGGATGCTCAGCTTTTATGACACCCATTCTTGGATACATACCCATGCCAGTTCTCTATGGTGTTTTCTTGTACATGGGAATCAATTCTTTGAACGGCATTCAGATGTTTGATAGAATACTCTTAATGTTTATGCCAAAGAAGTATCAACCAGAATATTCCTTTCTCAAGAAAATTCCCCTGAAGCGGGTGAATCTCTTCTCATTCATCCAAGTCTTGTGCTTTATGGTGCTCTGGCTGATCCAAGAGTTTAAGGCTGTCTCCATCTTGTTTCCGATCATGTTGGTCATCATCATAGGAATACGAAAGCTCTTGGACTATATTTTTTCACAGTATGAAATGAAGGTAAGATGATTAAGGTTTACAACACAACTTTGAAAATATAATCTTATAACGAAATACCAATTAAAATAATATTTGACAAAAATTGTTGTTTGTTTAGATTTTGGATGATATTCTACCTCAAAGCAAGCGTAAAGAGAGAATGGAGGTTGAAGAACGAAGAATGAGCCTGATACCAGCTGATTTCAAGGTAATTGAGGTAATAAATCTGTTCATAGTATTAACAAGGGTTTCTTAATGGGTTTTTCGAAAACCCATTGAACTGTGGAATAAAAAAGATGACATTTATGTAAATTAAATGTTTTTCAATGTTTTAGAAATTAAGTAAATAAGTTTATCAGTAGGTTGAAAATTAACCTTTTTAGTAAGATATGTCTGTATTCAATGCAAATGCACAATTGCTGTGTTTCATGTTTTTATGGACTATTCAAAAATAAATCATGTCTAACAGTCTTTTTATTCCACTATTTTATGGGTATCCCTATAACTAAGATTTTAAACGTGTTGATTTTTATATAGTGAGATCCAGAAAACTCTGGAATAAAAAGACGACTTTCAGACTCAATTTATGATTTTACATGGTCCAATGTAAAGGAGACAGAGTAATCATGTTGTATAAACAGATTATTAATTTTTAAGCTACTATAAAACTATTTGCTCTGTAACATCATAAAATAACTAATAACTTTGAAAATTTCTTTAATGTCCTCCTCCTATTCCACAGTTTTCTGGTTCTCACTGTAAATGAACCTGTTTAGAAAGGAGAAGTAGACCCGATGCTTAATGACCATCCTCTAAAGATAGAAAATAAGCTGGAGAAGAAAATAGATCCTACTGCCAATAATGTCTGCTGGGATGACAGCCCTTCTAGCGGGTCGGAGGAACACTCATGTGGGATATTGGCATAATTTGCTTAATTTTTAGAGGAATTTGAGAAATCCGAGAAAAATATTTCTAATCCCAAATCCCAATATATTTACAACCTAAAATGTAACTAATTGTTTAAACAAAATGAATGTGTATTTAATATCAAACATTTATGGCACAGGATTGCAAAGATATAATAAGCAGGAAAAGAGAGGATGAGTTCATACAAAGAACTTTTTCAATTTCCAAAAATCTTAATTTTTGTTAATTAATTCCTTAGAAATATTTTTGTTTCAGATCTCCATAGTAGTTTAAACTTATTTTCAAAAAGCAAGAAGTTGATTTTCTTTGATGTGGTTTATTTATCAACGTAATATATAATTATATTTTTACTTTTCAAAACGGAATTAGTGATATCCTAGCTCTTGTTAAATCACTCACCTGATTAAAATTAAAATTTTTAAATATAAAATCATCAAATTAAATCTACTTATGAGTGAAACGAACAAAAAATGATGCAGCAAGAACCAGTAAACTCTGGAATAGGAAGACGACTTTTAGATTAAATTTTTGTTGGAAAATAGTCCAATAAATATAAAGCAAAATAATTTTGCAGTGTAAACAGACCCATTTCACTTATTATAAAAAAGTAACTTGTAAAACTGTTTGCTTTGTAACAACATCAAATACATTTAAGTTTATCATTAATGTCAATTCCTAAATCCCATTCCACAGTTTTCTGGTCCTCACTGTGTTTTTCTCTAATTTTATAAAGACACCGCGTTTATTCTATATTTAAATTTATCTTTTATTATTGTTTATTTTATGTAAATACTGTATGAATATTGTAAATTTTACAAGTGTAATAAATACAGGACTTTTTTAATAATGTTTAATAGTTCACTCCAAAATATCAATCAAAATATTTATTTTAATAAGTTTAAAAATCAGAAGAATTAATAAACAGATATACAATAAACAACTTGAATAGACACGTGGAGCCCAGCTGACGTTTCATCATATTTTTTAATATTTTTGGAAACCAATATAGAGGGTTACCCAGAAAGGATGAGACTTCAATGTAATATAGTTTGTAAATGACAGGTTATTTATTTGACACAGACAATTGCACAAGGAATTTATAGATTTAAGACTGTTTTAACAACAAAGTTAAACTGAGTTAAACTAGCATTAGCGCAAGAAGGTATTGGGCGGGCCACAGTCGAACATTTTTTTTTTACCTTGAAACCTCAGAAAACGTCAAGATTTATGAATCAAGACTAAGAAACTGATTTTTTAACTTATTACACGCTTTATTTTATTTCAGGTAAATATTTTGTATGAAATGAATTTAGGTATACATCGAAAGCTCGAAACTTTTAAAGATCGTTAACAAAGATTATAGATTATAGTTCGTATATTTTTGTTTAGTTTGACCCAGAATTGTCACCATTGCAGACTGACCTATATGCGAGTAGTGCGGGTCTGCATAAACAAGGGCACGTACACAACCGGAGGAACTCTAGATGAGCAATTAGATTCTAGTTTGTAGACCATAAATCCTATCTTGAAACCTTTCTCCAATGAGGGGAGGAAGGCCAGCCACAACAATTTCTAGTTCGAGCCACATTCTCCTCATTTTCTCGTCCGAGCCACCTCTAAATCCTCGTCCTTCCAATACTATTTTTTAAAAGTGTCTATTCCTCCAAGATAAAACAATTTTTTTAAGAATCGGGCCACGTTAGGGCATAAATGAAATATTGAATTTCAGTAAATCGAAAAAGTAGTTTTTATCAAATTGAAGTTTTAAAGTTCAATGTCTTTACAAATGTTCACCTCTTTTACGCGCATTTTCAGATATTCCTGTTGTAGAATGCCGCAAATAATTCCGAGGTTATAGGACTTTAATCTTTTTTGTTGATCATAGTGAAAACCATATATTTTTTCCGGGTGGTTCCATGGGAAAAATGATAGGCAGAGGTATGTCAAATATTTTGCTGTTTATTTCATATCGGGAAGGTTGGCCATTATGGTGGCAGAAGAGTTTTAAGTTTTACCGAAATAAAGTTTGACATCATTCTCATGTTTCTAAAGTTTCCAACATGATTTAATCATTGCAATACTTTAGTCCATCCATTTTTTATGCCCTAACGTGTCCAGATTTGTTAACAATAGTTGCATCTTCGAGAATTAGAAACTTTTAAACACATAATAATTGAAGGACGAGGATTTTGAGGTGGTTCGGACGAGAAAATGAGGAGAATGTGGCTCGGACGAGAAGTTGTTGTGACTGGCCTCCCTCCCCTCCTCCAATAGATGTCGATGAAATATTCTGGTCTTAGAAAAACTATTATGTGTATTATCAAAATTATCGAAATTTAATGCTTTTTACCTGCTCGGATAGTAACACTGATGCATCTATTCTTGTTTACAAATTCCGCCCAGAGAAAACTGGTTTCAATATGTGCGTAGAGTATACGCAAATGCAATTAACTTTCCTTGCATTATAACCTTGCAACTAGCTATATATATATATATATATATTCAATATACAGATTCATAAAATTATTCCTTTTAATGAAAATAGTTTTCAAAAAATAAATATAAAATATATTTACATATTTACATATTTATCACAAGTTTTAGCATTTCTTTTGCATTTTATTTCAGAATATGAACCTGTTTATGGTGTACATAGTAATTCCTTACACGCCGAATTGTATACTCAAGCTTTTTTAGGACTTTTTTCTGCAGATTTAGGGTGCCGTGACAAACTCCTGAAAGACAAACTCCGGAAAGACAAACTCCGGAAAGACAAACTCCGGAAAGACAAACTCCTGAAAGACAAACTCCTGACGAGACAAACTCCTGACGAGACAAACTCCTGAAAGACAAACTCCTGAAATTATGAAATTTTTCTCTGAATGAAATTTATTATTATTTATTTTTTATTATTTAGGGTTAGGTTAGGTTGAGACACTTTCTGGGCCGAGCGCTGCGGCTAGGAGAGGCTAGTGGGCCGAGCGCTGCGGCCATGGGTTAGGTTAAGACACTTTCTGGGCCGAGCGCTGCGGATAGGACAGGCTAGAGGGCCGAGCGCTGCGGCCATGGGTTAGGTTAAGTGTTGACACTTTCTGGGCCGAGCGCTGCGGCTAGATTAAATATAAATTGTGAAACATTTTTTTAAATTTGATATTATGGAGTTTGTATTTCAGAATTTTTTATTTTCAGGAGTTTGTCTCGTCAGGAGTTTGTCTTTCAGGAGTTTGTCTTTTCAGGAGTTTGTTTTTCCGGAGTTTGTCTTTCAGGAGTTTGTCTTTCAGGAGTTTGTCACGGCGCCAGATTTAGATTACTGAGTTCAAATTTCCCAAGACGACTTTTTTATAGGTTTTTCTTTTCCTCGGATTTATTTTCTTCCGGACTTTTATTCCTGTGATTTTTTTCCTGCGACTTAATTTACAGACAGCCCTTATACAATTTTAGGAAAAAAGTCCCAGATAATCTTATTTCCAGTGATATTTTTTCCCAGAGTTTTATTTCCAGGTTTTTCTCCTGAAACTTTTTTTCCCCTTTTTACATAGATTCTAAAGCCTAGTTCTCTCTATATACAGGGTGTCCAAATAAACATTGGAATTCAGTGACGAATTCGATATCGTCTTTTTAAATAATTCTTTAATTTAGTATAGTGATACCTACTGATAAAGCTGTAATCTGTAAGAGTTTCGTCTGCTATGTTTACATTTTGTTTGTTTATGTTTTGACTGCATACGCTTGTATTTAGTAATACAATAAAATTGCAGTATACAAACAGAGTAAACTTGTCCGTCTTCACTGTTCATCTTGCGGAGACATTATATTCACATCTTTGCAGTCTTTTACCCTTTTCATAAAATAAACTCTAGCAGACATAATAATATTATGGCTTTTGAAATTAGGTATTACACTGCTAATTCATAACAAAGACGATATCGAATTCGTCACTGAATTCCCATGTTTTTTGGGACACCCTGTACTTCTTTGTCAAAATATATAGAAATATATATGTTTCTACCTAAAATGCATTTAATTAAATCTGGGTTCGATATTATCAAATTCCTATAAAGATCTTATCTCTACAATACAACACATATGTTCATTATTCTGAACATTTATTGAGAATCATTGATTATTGCAAATACTTTCAAATAATTTTCATCTCTAGCTATACGCTTCCATCTAAGAAAGTCAAGTATGCTCTACTAAATTCGTAACAGTCCTATCGGCCATTTCCTCGATACTGTACTGAGGTTAATTCCACAAAGGACAGGCTTGACTTGTCCTATTACTGGTTTTTACATCTATCTAATTTGGACTAGATTAATAAATTTCCTTCCACAGTAAAATTTTATTGAAACATAATATTGTATGCTCAGCAGTTAGGAACAGTAGCTAAAAATCCTTAAATTTCCGTACTGCATTGTTCTTTTTGGAACAGGTTTTTTTAGTACATGTAGAATAAATTTTTTATTACAGAATTCTTACATAATACAAAAAAGAAGAGAATGTACATGGATTGAAAGGAAAAAGAAGAAAAAAGGTAAAAGGACGAAAAACAAGAATATAAAAAAGGGATAAGCAAACTAAGAAAGGGAAAAAAGTTGAAGTGGCGAGGATAAGAGATTGAAGGAAAAAAAACACAAGGGAAAAAACGAGAAAAAGACAGAAAAGGAGAAAGAAAACTAAAACTGAAAGTGGTGTAAAAATTGAATCAAAAAACTTTGACCTTGGTTTTTAAAGAAAGGAGAATGGACGTGAAAGAAGAATGTTTTTGCATGTTTGTTTTTAACATAAACATGCCAAGGTTAAGACAGTAATGCAGTATGAATTTAAGAATTACTTTCTACTGTTCCTAACTTTTAAGCGTACAATATTTGGGTGTGTTTGTGAACTTAGGTATTCGAAGGTAATTAGGTATTGGGTCTGAATGCATCTCAACTTCATTTTAAAATATAAGTATTAAATTTTAAAATAATTCTGATAGGATATGATTAAATAAAGGAGAAATGAGAAATATAGCCCTCCCCCCAAAAAATTAAAAAAATGTTATGTTACTCCACATTTTCTTAGAAATGTTATACTGAATTTAGATTCGAAACCATCTATCAAAAATAAACCAAATTATTTTATGAGAAGGCAAATTCAGGGACCGGAGACCATCAAAAAACGAAAAAAGTAAAAATCTTTTCCGCAAATACTTTTGTTGTCTTTCTTTTTTTGTTAACGTCTGTTTTCAATATCTTTAGATAAAACAGAACTCAAATTCGAGTTTTATCCAGTTTTTTTTAGATTTGTCATAACACCCTCAGATCAAAAAAAATATAAGTTTCGTCTATTTTCAAATAAATTTGTCTCGACATCATTTAATTTATCACTAAACCATTTTTTTATGATCAGTGTTAATTAATTTTGTTTTCTGATTTACAACAATGACATCTTATATTTTCAATATCTTTAAAAAGACAGAACTAAAGTTAAATTTTATCGTGATTATCGTTCTTCTATATTTGTCGAAACATCCTCAGATCTAAAAAACTATAAGTTGTCTTAAAATCTTTTAATTTGTCTCGAAAAATTTTTTTTTATGTCAATTAAAAAATTGTCTATTTTACAATAATGGTGTCTTATCTTCATCTACTCCTTAAAAATTGGGAAATTTAAACTGTTTAATGTAATTAAACTATATATTGGATTTTTGAACCTGTACCTGTATCGTGTACTGTATCATGTACTGAACTCACTGAACAGCATCGAAGAAAATCTCGTCAAGATTTCTCACGCACGGCACCACGAGAGAAACGAGAAAGGGGGGAATTCTTTCTACCTGAGTACCAAAGAATCAAAACTCAGACTTGTCCAAACCTTCCGAAAGAGCCATTTATATATAAATTTGGCTTGTCTTGGTGTTTGTCTGTTTGTCTGTTTGTTTGTTTGTTTGTTTGTTTGTATCCAATAAACGTCAAAACGGCTGAACCGATCGGGCCCAAATTTTTTGTGGGACATAACGTGACCACAGGCAAGGTTTATGAATGATCAAAATTTCAAATATTTGTCTCCATCAAAATTTGATCTTCATTAAATTTTTGAAAATTTTGAAAATCCACGAATTTTTTTTGTGAAAATCCGCGAATTATTTTTGTTTTGTTTTACGATGTACACAAAAGAGAACATGTTCACAATTAATTTAGAAGATGGGCGCGAAGCGCCCTATAAGGCTAGTTTCACATAAAAGACCCAATTGGTTCTTGAGTTACAGGCAGTAAATATAGAAAGAAATTGTAGGTCTCCGATTACAATTTTATTTCCAAGTATTCATGTATGAAGATATTAAGTACAATTTATGTTAATTATTTTTGTAACATCTTAAAGATTACAAACACGAGTAAATAACTCTCTTTAGTTATTCCTTTTAATTTAATAAAAGAAAATTTGTATGATCCAAATGTTTTATAGATCATAGCTGTATTTTCTAATTTGAATTAAAATAGTTTTTTTCTAAAAACTAATCCGAGAACTGTAACCTCGTGACATATGCACAACTTGTAACATATTTTCATTTGTAAATATTATGTATAATGGTCGGATTTAAAATAAATATCTAGGTTTGGAGAAATTAATCCAAATTGATCTAAAAACAGTCTGTAAGGTTAGTGAATTATGAATCAGGCCCAGACGGTTAGATTGGTTGATCGATTTAAAAAAAAAAATCGATCCTCCTGGCCTACCTTGAACCTACGCATTCTTTTTCTTTTCATCCCTCTCTTCTTAATTCATTCAGGTTTTTCTTATACTTTTCAGTTTTCTACCAGTTTTCTTTCCACATTTTTCCTTCTCCCCCAACCGATCGGGCTCAATTTTTTGTGGGACCTCACATGATCCCAGAAAAAAGTTTATGGATGGTTAAAAATAAAAAATTTGCCTTGAAAATTTTGATTTTTCAAAATCCACGAAAAAAACCCATTAAAAAAGCTTCAATTATAAGTTATGTTATATTTGGAGATGGGCGAGAAGCCTAATCTTGTTTATTTCCTATTTTTCCACATTGCAATTTCTTTCCTCTTCCCGAAACTATATCGGGGCAGAAATTATACATATGTTACGATGTTTGGGCGAGGGGGGAATGGTTGTTAAATGGGGGGGGGGGACTGCTTTGGAGTGTCTCAAGTTTCAGTTTTCAAAGCCGAATTAGAAAATAGTTATTATTAGCTAAATATGTAAACTAGTCAAAAAACATATTTTTCTTTGGAAATTAGATTTGTCTTAGATAATGAAATTCTTATTCCTTGCAAATACATAAACCTAATAATGTTTATATTGATTTATATTGTCATATCAAAATAGTCGGGAAGTTTTCAACAGAATAATTGTAATATTTTGAATATAAATAGATATATTATAACATAAACATATGATACTTAGCTCGCAATCATCATTCAAAATTCAATTAAGCGCAGTTGTTGGCGAACGGTGGAATTGGACGCATGTGATAAAATGAACCGAGGGGCCTCCTTCTCCTCTCACACTGTCAGTCTGTGTGTATCCAACAAAAGTGTAAACTAGTGAACCAATAGGGCTAAAATTGTTACTAGAAAAAGGGCAAGTGGCCGGAAAAGCCTACAGTTTATTATCTTAATCTTTTAAAACTTTAGTGTATTTATATACAACTTTTTTTCTGTAAAAGACTTTTTTATAGAAAAAAGATCAATTTCCTGTGCTGTCCTAATGACAAAATAACCGCTTCCTCATGCATCTCTATAGTTTGACTACCGTCGTTTCTGTATACAATTAGAGGATTACCGTCTGTTTAGCATGTATATTGTTTAATCATATGGTGTGTCCATCGTATGTCCTACTCCTTGAGGTGTTTTGACCAAGGAGTATGAAATAGAAGGGAGATACAACTGACGCGGTCTGATGTACTATTACCACGTATAAAATAACCTATTCTGAATGTTTCTTATACAAATGGAGTACCCGTCTGCAAAGCATGTTTAATCATATGGTGGGGCGGGCCGCGTCAGTTGTATCTCCTATCTATTTCATACTCTTTGGTATTACATCAGTGTATTGTGTACTTTTCACAGGTGACAGGTGTACTGTAATTGCATCATTACGTTAGCACTGCAGAAACAAATAAACACTACTTTTATAGTATTGGAATATTGAAAGTTATTTATAATAACCCTTTATAAATGTACATTTTAGACATGTGCCAAAAGTAGTAAAAATGAAAATAAATGATAATAGTGATAGAGTTGTTATTCCCATCGGGCTTCGTTGGATCACGGGTGCCGGGTGGAAGAAACAGTACGAAGTGGATTGTGGAAGTAGTACTTGAGGTAATTTCAGTAAAAGTAAAGTAACTGGATCTGAACATGAGGGACATAATTATAAAGAAAAGGTGGAGAGGTTCTTAAGAAAGTTTTGGGTTCACGAGAGCTTTAGAACTCTGAGGGGATTAAGTGCCGTTGTAGTAAATACCCTACTCCTTAAACGCTCTCGAACTTGTATCTATCCAGAGCTGAAAACTTTAGAATGGGATATCCTTAATCCCGATCTGTTAATTAATCTGGAGAATAATTACAAGAGGAGAACAAGCCATATTTAATCTGGAGATTAAGAAAAAGAGTGGATCAAGCATTAATCCCGATATCCACCATTCTAAAGTTCACAGCTCAGGTACAACTCAGATTCTCTTGACTAACAAAGTCAGCACACGGATACAATCTTGTAACTATCAATGCCAAATCAAAGGGCATGATCCTCAGTCTGTTTATCAAAACAAGGAACCACAGGAATACAGTCCGTGATCCATCAACGCCACTTGGCCACTACCACTGGACGCGACCTTGTTAGCTTTTGATATCAATCGGAAGCTTGTAACTATCCACCCCAAATTAAAGGGGAAAATCCCCAACCTGTTTAAAAGAACAGGGAACCACATTAATACGATCCGTGACCTATCAACACCACACCCACTGGGCGCTATCTCAGTAGCTAATTAAAGAGGACAATCCTCAATCTGTTCATCAAAACAGGAAAAGATTTCTCGCTCACAGTAAACAGTACGGAGTTTCTATATCAACTAACTGTATTTGAGGTTTATATGTTACAAGTTAAAGCTAATTGACATAATTACAATTCCTACGTCCTTAAGGCAATCATATTACGCATTATTGCACAGTTGAAATAGCCGCAGTTAAGATGTATGTCATTATATATATATATAAGCTAATCCTGCTATATATTTATTTGAAACACAGTTTAAATGAATAATGGGTTTTACGTACAAGTTTAGAAACAAAGATAGTTTATAAAGTACAACGTACTGCAGGTTTACAGAATAATGAGTTACTGGTATTTATTAAACCATGATGAGGGACATATGAGGCATGAGGAAGTTTAGGAGGAGATTGAGAGGATCTGATAAACCTCAGGAACATCATGGCTATACTTACTGGAAGTCAATTGCTAATCATGATAAATGAAAAATAACTGAAGATCGTCTTTGATTTTTTAAATAATTTGCAGCACAAGTTTTTAACCTAATTATGAAGTAAAATTCTTGAAATTATTATCAAACAATGTTACTATTGACATTTCCCAAATGTTGTCTGCCATTTTTAAAAAGTAGTTTTAGAGAGATCTACAATCAATTAAAAAAAATATATTTATAATGACCTTTAGGCTGTCCCTCAACTGTCGTGGGACACTTAAGAATGTAATTGGGACAAGAGGGATTTATTCAGTAATAAGGGACACAGCTAATAAATAGCATTAGCGTATATTTCCAAATGTATTCAAATGACACAAATTTGTAAATGAGCTAATTTTAATTGTCTTGAGATTGGGACAAAATTCTACACGCCAAACTATAGTATTCAGTCTTAAGAATCTGACCTGAAACACCTTTTTCCTCCGGGCAGTTTCTCATATATTGATAAATTCTTTATTTTAGGTTCATAATAAAGGAAAGGTATGTTGTAAATGCCATACTTTTAAAACTTCATCCCAAACTGTATCAGTCCAGGTACAATCTGTCCACTATCAAAGTCATCAAACAAGCTATTGGCTATCTAACAAGCCCTTAATCGATCTCTACTCATCTAAATGTGATCTAATCCCGAATATTACAACAAGGTTTACAATTACTCTACACCGTAAGTTAAGTGGAGTTCTGATTCTAAATGATCTCTATTTACAAATCTATATGGTATATGTTAAGTTCCAATACGTATTCACAAAATTACGCAGGTGTATAATTTAATCCCATTACGTAGCTAGTCTACTCGCATTACAAGTTTTACATAGTTGAAGATTAACGCAGTTAGATCCTCAGACAATGTACAACACATTTTATATAGGAATGTTCAAACAGCATTTATTACAGGAAGACGTAATTGAGAGACGACATTCATTAACAGATTGATGGCATGTCCAAGTAGTGTGTAGTACTCGTACTCCATACTTGCGAATTCATGCGAGAATGGAACGTGTTTCTTTTCCAGATACAGAAACTATTTTTTTTACTCTTGGAACTACTTTCAATAGACCCTTAATAAAGCTTGACCATTTTTTAAATAGAACTAAATTGAATAAAACTGAATACATGCTTATAGATACAGCAAAGCAACAATTTTGATTTAATTTAATTTAATCCTTTACGCATATTTTATCTATCGAATTATTAAAAAAACACTTTTATGATTTCCTTTAGGTTCAGGTTTCAGTTCAATTCATTTCTCTGCACAATGCACATCTACATTATATACACTGGTATCTGTTAAAGGGACTGCTAGCTTAATTTCAAGTCAATATCTAAGTTGGAAAAGCCTGATTCATAATGATACCCTTAAAAGCTTTGTCAAATCTAGTATGGATATAAGATTTTAATATAAGTGAACTGCAGTTTTTGGTGCACCATATAGGTCGAGTAATTAGTATATTTTTTATCTGTATCTCTCTTCAAGTAAAAATTTACTTATTAAATGAAATCCAAACCCAAAATTTTTAATATTTTGGTTCAAAAAAGGTTTCTAAGTTTTTTAAGGTTTAAAACGTTGAAGTGTTTAAAGTTAAACGTTAGAAAGCACTAAGGGACGGAAAGGATTAAGGTTGAAAGGTTTAAATATTTAAAAGATGCAAGGGTACATATTCAATTTAACAATTCTAAACAAGATATGTTTGTATCATTTGGTTCTTGTATGTAAAACAATGTGGTTTTAACTTCCCTTTCATGCTAAGTCCCTTTGTAAGCCCTCACTCCACTTGCTTTAATTTATCAATTAATTACGCAAAAAATCATTACTGCGGAAACGTTTTTTTAAGTATAGTAAGTCTGTTTTCTCTCTCTTGAATTTAGCAAGCAAAAAGAGAATTTTTGCAATATTTTCTTATTTTCGCAATTAATTCCTGACATCACTTCATTTTATTTGTGTAATTATATAACCTGTTAGTTGCGGCAACAAGTTTTTAAATTTGAAATCTTGAATTTAATGGGTAATGTAGTATAGTGATAAGTGAGTAGGCTGCTCGGTACTTTTATCTAGAATATTTTAAATATCATTGTGATTAAAAATATTTAAGTATCGTTCAAATAATTGCACTTCTCAAATTATATTCTTCATGAATCATAATTTGATAAAAGGAGAACGTTGTCAGGTTGTTCTATATTTATATACAGGATGCCCCGCTAAACTTGACAATTGGGTCGTCTTCGATTTTATACAACTTATAAGAAATTATTAATCAAATTTCAGCAACACACCTACAAATTTAAAATAAATAGGATTTTTAACAGATACAAATGTTGCAAACCACGAGAAACAATCTAATGTCCTAAAAAACTGCTTTCAAAGTTAAAAAAAAATATGAGTTGTCTCTGAATTGTCTAGTTTATTGGGACACCCTGTATATTCCGAGATTGCTGTATAAAAATATTCGTAATTGCGAAAAAAATTTACAGTGGAAATCTAACTTCTTCTCCTTATGAAATGTATTTAAAAATGAGTTTGCATTGGAGAATTCGAACACAAATCCCAAATATATTTGATGATAATTGAATTTATTTTAAAACACGGGGGTCTACAAGATCAGGTTAGCAATAGACTCCTTTATACAAATTTTACCTTTTGTATTTTCCCATTTCCTGTTATGACTAATCTTTTTAAATCATGAAATATGGTGCAAAGCATAGAATAACTGCAGCTGGAGCGAAAAATGTAAACAAAAAGACGAAACAGTTGGCACATCCTTAGTGGATGAAAATCCATTAACTTCGCATTTTTTGTTGGAAAAATATTTTACATCTCATGTCACAAAATAATTATGTTGTCTAAAAAAATATTTTTTTCAGAACTAAAGTAAAAATAAATGTGAAAAAATGGCGACCATGCATCTCAATTGATCATCTCCTTAAAAAGTTGTTTTGCCAAGAAATGGCGTCCAAAAATCCAGGTACAAACAGTTTTTTTATTAAATAGTTTAAACATTTATTCTTTTAATAATTGTGCATGAACAAATTATAGTTTGGTTCACTGAAAATTTTTGTTTCTAAAAATCATTGCACTTTTTGTTGTTTCTTTCAATAAAGCCGTCTACTTAAGTCGATAAATACTAGATAAATACTGTTTTAAAAAATATGCTGTTTAGAAAATATTGTAATTCATATCATGTTTTTATTTAGCTCATGTTGTTATTTAGATCATGTTGTTATTCAGATCATGTTGTAATTCAGATATTGTTGTTGTTTAGAAAATATGTTGCTGGCTGGAAAATGTTGCTTTTAGAAAATGTTGATAAGAAAATGTTGCTTTTAGAAAATGTTGTTAAGAAAATGTTGTTAAGAAAATGTTGTAATTAGGAAAATGATGTTGTTCATAAAACGTTTGTTCTTTTTTTGGAAAATGTTGGTGTTTAGAAAATGTAGTTTTCAGATGTTGTTGTTCAGAAAATGTTGTTGTTAAGAAAATGTTGCTGTTGAGAAAATTTGGGAAAATGCTGTAGTTTTCTAGAAAATTTTGTTTAGAAAATGTGTTCGTTTACACAATTTTGTTGTTAAAAATGCTGTTTTTATAAAATGTTGTTCAGAAAATGTTGTTATTTAGGAAAGCAAATTGAGTTTTCGCTAAAAACTCAAATATTCTATAAATCCCTATTTATTTTTTACCTGATCGTTTAAACTTTTGATATTTCAAACTTTAACTATTTGATCTAACTAATCTAACAGAATTCTAAGTTTGAAATATCTGAGATCTGCAACATAAGTTTGAATAGATATAAGGAGTAAAAATCATAGTTTGTTTTCTATAAAATGTGGATAGTTGTTATGAAAATTTTGTTTTTAGAAAATGTTGAAATTTAGAATATGTTAATATTTAGAAAATGTTAATATTTAGAAAATGTTGTTGTTCAGACAATGTTGTTCAGAAAATGTTGTTAGTTAGTAATGTTCAGAAAATTTTGTTAGTTAGTAATGTTCAGAAAATTTTGTTTTTTAATAAATGTTGTTATTTAGATAATGTTGTTATTTAGTGAATGTTGTTTTTTAGTGAATGTTGTTATTAAGAAACTGTTGTTATTAAGAAAATGTTGTTGTTGAAGGAGAACAAACAACAAATACAAAAATGAAGAGAAATCTAGGACTATTTGATGGTGTCAGGTTAGATCAGAAATAATTTTAACATTTTTAAACGTAATAAATTCTATGTAAAGCAACCAGAACATTCACGTAGCACTGTGAAACAAATTTCGTTTATTATAAAAATAAGCACGCAAGGAATTACAGGGATATTTTCAATATGCATTGAATTAGGTGTACCTTGAAAGGTTCGATTTAGTAAATTCATTTTATATTTAAAGTACAGGTTAGCCCAGAACTTCGAATTCATCAGAAGAATGTATAAAATTACATCATTGACGATTTTTCAATGGGTTTTTAAATTTTTAAACATAAAACTAAATATGTGTAGTGTAACATTTAAACCTTTGACATCGTTACTATCCCAGACATAAATCCCAGGGAAATCAAGATCAATCCTTGTCCCTCATCTTTGAGGGTTAATACAAGACTTCACTTTCATTCCCAGTACCAATTCATAATTTACCCAAACCTCTCATCTTGTGTATAATATCTATCTCTCAAGATCTTGAATAAGTGGGGTTTTCAATCTATATTTTATTGGTACAAATATATCTGTTAATATCCATTTATATTAAACCATATTCTATATATCTGTAGAGTCCCTCAGCGGTAAGACAAGTCACCACTATCTCTTAAATAGGAAGAGTCCCTCAGCGGTAAAGCAAGTCCCCACTAACTCCTATATAGGAAGAGTAGCTCAGTAGTTCATCTGAGCCTCTGTTCCCTGCTGGGCTAGATGTAGTCTAGCTAATTCTTCTAAAGATAATATAACTGGTGATCTCCTGATCAATCCTAGCTATCTATCAATCTGCTCTGGATCTCTAGTCTCCACAGTATCTGCAACTTCCACAGCATCTGTAGAATCCTCCATATCTGCAGTGTCCACAATATCAGCAGTATCCTCAATATCTGCAGTATCCACTGTACCTTCAGCATTCCTAATATCTGCAGTATCCACAGTATCTGCAGTATCCTCCATATCTGCAATTCAAGCCCTCTCGGAGTATCCAGTGTTTATAACCATAGAAACACCTAGAACATGGGTGTCTGTGGGTAGTTGAACCAGCTGTATATAGGTGAGACTACATTTCTCTGATTCTCTTGTCTGTTCTGTAGCTCTAGTGATCTTCTGAGTCTCCAGTGTTTCTAATCATAGAAACACCTGGAATATTAGAGTGTGTGGGTAGTTGGACTAGCTGTGTTGAGGTGGAACCACATATCTCTGATTCTACTGTAAACCTGAGATATCTATCTCATCAATGGTTTATTCCTCTGATCTGTTGTAACCTGAGATATCTGTCTCATCAATGATTTTTTGTATTCCTGAAGATATGATCATGTAAGATATAATCATGTAAGTCCACATGTTGTAAGCCTTCTGAGAGCTGTCCATGAAGTGCCCGTCCCCCAGCCTTGTTTGAACAAACGGAGCTTTGCTCATACGTCTGTTCTATTCAAGGATCTGGGGTGCACTGTTGAATCCTAATGAATCCGTTCAGGTTAATTCTTCTGCATTATTAAAAGAACAAAGAGATGAAGGTGTGAGGCCAGGGGAGGGTTTTCTTGCCATGAGTCATTCATACTTTAAATATTACAGTAGCATTCCATCATTAATAGATTTTGGAAAACGCCATTTTTAAAAGTTCTTTCGATATCCTCGAAGTTCTTGGTCAAACTGCATTAAAGTAGAACATCCCTGTAAGTCGGATTTGATCAACGATTCAGTTTTTATTTCGGATCTTCAGATCTGATTTAGTATGATGTTGAAGTTGTAATATTTTAGTATAATTGTTGGTATTATTGTTGGGTCTGGAATATTTGTGAGTCCGAAGGGAGTTCTTTTATATTCAGGATCCCCAGGTAGGAAATAATAATAATAAATACAACAATTTTATTTTTCAAACAATTTAAAAATTAATGACATCTTAAAAAATGATTAATTTAAATTCTTGAAAACTGTAAGAAACTTGACAGGGGGCTATAGATGCTAAGCCCCCAACTTGACAAGTGAATTTCTGATAAACTCCCCCCCCCCCTTCCCTTTAAAAACATGAATGGTCCCCCCCCACCCTCCGAACAAATGTCTGCACCCATCATTTTATTATAAATGCATCAAATAAATTTATTTTTGATTTTTTATTTCAGCTAAGGGTTAGTAAAGCAATTAATCATTCATTTCTTAAATTTATTACAAGCTTAATGCTTTAAAAATAAAAAAATATTCAGTATTAAAGAAAAAACAAGTCGTAAATTCATTAAGATGCTATGTTTTTAATTTTAATTAATTCATCAAATGAAGGATTTTAAGAATGCAGAAAAAGCTAAAGCTATAAATTATTCCAATATGAAAGATTTAAAAAATGCACTTTTTAACATTTACATCCCATTTATACTTTTAATTTAGAGAATATCTAGTTGTAAAGATTAAAGTAAACATAAAATAATTTGCACAAAAACAGGTCTTTTCATTTATTTTTTCTTAGTTTTTAGGGAAAACCCCCAAAGGATAATTTAATTTCTGAAAAAATTATAAAAAAGGAATTTTTCATCAATAGCTTATATGCCATTCTTCATTTAAGAAGTCGCTTGTATTGTTACATTGAATGGACATTTTTTTAACTAACAAAAATTTTTATTTTTAGGATTAGCTTTAATAGTGTGGACATTATCTGGTTTAATCAGCCTGATCGGAGCTCTCTGCTATGCAGAGCTTGGTACAATGATTCCTCAGTAAGTTTAAGTAAATCACAAGATTAAAAGGGATTATTCCCATTCTTAAGTTGAGTGTCACTTGAAAATATGTTTACAGTCCCTTTATATACCGCTGTTATGCAGTTCCACTTATTTCTCACAGCAAAAAAATGTTCACGCTTAAAAAACAAAAAATTGAAAAAAACTAGAAAATAAGTGTTTGAGACGAGTTATCAGTTCCTTTTTATTTGTGGCGTATAATAGCTTTATAACCTAATCAACCATATGAATATTAAGACTTTGTTTTCTTTAACAAATCAAATCATGAAGTAACAGCCAACGTTTTCAAAATCTATTTTAAAAAATTGATATTATTATCTCTAACTTTTTCATGATTGTTGCTTACCAAGGTCCGGAGGGGATTATGCATACATTAATTCAGCTTTTGGACCATTGCCTGGATTTTTATACCTTTGGTCAGCACTTATCGTTATTATGCCTGCAGGTACAAGTACAGTACAGTACCGTACAGTACAGTACACTACAGTACAGTACAGTACAGTACAGTACAGTACAGTACAGTACAGTACAGTACAGTACAGTACAATAGACATCTCTGACATCTCTGACATCTCTGACATCTCTGACATCTCTGACATCTCTTGACATCTCAGACATCTCTGACATCTCTGACATCTCTGACATCTCTGACATCTCTGACATCTCTGACATCTCTGACATCTCTGACATTTCTGACATTGCTGAAATCTCTTACATCTCTGACATCTCTGACATCTCTGACATCTCTGACATCTCTGACATCTCTGACATCTCTGACATCTCTGACATCTCTGACATCTCTGAATCTCTGACATTTCTGACATCTCTGACATCTCTGACATCTCTGACATCACGGAAATCTCCTGAAATCTCTGAAATCTCTGAAATCTCTATTTTAGGCAATGCAATCACTGCCCTGACGTTCTCTCATTATGTTCTTGAACCGTTCTATCCTGAATGTTCACCTCCTGACTCTGCTATCCGTCTGCTTTCTGCTTCTCTTATATGTAAGCTACAATATCAAGTCCAATAACAAACATCCATGCTTACCCGACGTTTAAAGCATGCTTTTATCAATTTTATTTTCAGATAAAATAGGAAAATATGTGAAATTAATTATGATATATATATATATATGTAGGATGATTAGATTATGAATACATTAGCATTTTATTTCGTACTAGACTTATAGGGCGCTTTTCGCCCATATTCTAAATTAATTGTGAACATGTTCTCTTTGTGTACATCGTAAAACAAAACAAAAATAATTCGCGGATTTTCACAAAAAATTTCGTGGATTTTCAAAATTTTCAAAAATTTAATGAAGATCGAATTTTGATGGAGACAAATATTTAAAATTTTGATCATTCATAAACCTTCCCTGTGGTCACGTGATGTCCCACAAAAAATTTGGGCCTGATCGGTTCAGCCGTTTTGACGTTCATTGGATACAAAAAAAAACAGACAGACAAGCCAAATTTATATATAGATTATAAAGGGTCATTTTCTATCTACCTGCAACAAACTCTGATTTTGAAATCCCTATATCTTTGAAAAGAGATTTCAAACAGTAATATTAATTATAAGTTCGTATTACTTCACCCGAACTCCCCACCCAAGACTAACCAGTGTTAAAGGTTTCTTCTATTTTAAATCATACGCGTTTTGGTTTATATTTTAACAATCTTGAAACTTACGGATTTGTTTATTTAATACTTTTTATTCAAAACGTATATGCCGGCAAAAAAGTATTTAAGAAAGAAGGCTGAAAAATTATGTTTAATAGGAGAAATTGTGATCGAAAGTCATAGCTTTCTGGAATATTGACAGAACCAATAAATAAACGTGTCCCACCAATGGCAGTGCAGTATACTGGTCACGTGATACAGACAGATAGACAGATATTATAAATAATACAGTGAAACCCTTAATAACGAATACATCGGAAGAATTTATCAAATGTCGTCTTGACAATTTTTCAATGAATTTTATACTACATTACGTAAATTTCAGTATTTGCGAAAATAAATAGATAGCCATGAATATGCGGGAACAGTTTTAAAGAGTTCCATATACTCATTTAATTAAAAAACTAAATATCTGCAACATTCCATTATCAGAAAGTGAAGAATACGACATTTGATGAATTCTTTCGATGTATTCGTAATTAAGGGTTTCACTGTATCTATTAAAAAAATAAAAATTATAAAATAATAATTGGAGAAAATTTTACAATTAGGTTTCTCTGGGATATCTTCGTTTTCAGATTGGTTGCGTATTTTTGCTGAATATGATCTGTTTAAACCTACTAATTCTATACAAACTTGTATATATATGAATTTTCGTATAAAATTTGACACTTTTTTTCAATTTCTCGATTTCGTTTTCAGACTTTTATTGTAAAATATTGTATTTTTTTAAACGTTGTAATCTTATTAACTTTAAATTACGTCCATTCCGAATAAGTTCCAAAATAGCCTGGGCAAACTTTTCTATAATTTTTTCGAGAGTTTTTACTAAAAGTAAACTGTAGTATTTGCTAAGCTGCAGGACGCAATCTTCTGCTTTTGGTATTGGTTTTAAATAGTTGTCTGAAATATAAGGATTTTTTTGGCTTTCTAAGGGCAAGCTAAAACCCTGAGTAAGTTTAAATGTTAAAACATGGTACTGCACCATTCTTAACAAATCCTTGGTTAGAGTCAACACTGCAAGCATATTTTTATGAAACAGATAAAAATACGAATCAAATAAGTTAACATTACAAAAGTAAGAATTTAGGTTTGCTGACTGCTGTCAACTGTATGAATGTAAAAGCTGCAGCTAAAGTTCAAGACGTCTCCTCTGTTACAAAGGTGACACAATAACAAATTATCAGAGGCACAAAGTCGATATTTTAAGGGGGAAGAAAAACGAATTAAAAAAATAGAATTTGTATTATCATTGTTAGTACAGGGTGTCTCTAAAAAACAGTAGTTTAAGCCCATTTTCATTTTTTTCGACACTTAAAAATGTGATAAATGTCCGACCTAGCTGTGTAAGTAAATCACCTAAATGAATAAATAAATAATGATTTATTGAGATAAACTCAAATAATAATTATCATTCACAAATAGTAATAATAAAAATAATGCAAAAAAACGCCTATACATTTAGATCAAAGTATATTTTATGTACGGTAAAACCTTGGAAAATTTTCTGTTACATACATTTTTTCATTTTGTAGCTATTATACAAATTATTTTTGTTATATCCTAGGTGTTTGCTATGCTTGTAATAGTAGTTGCTGGTTTTGTTTACTTGGGAGGAGGACATCAAGAGAACTGGCAGGATCCATTCCAGGTCAAAACAAATTCTTTGTAGAAAATGTGCATAGAATATATTGAAAAGTTCATATGGGAAACGAACATATAAGAAAAGTAAATATAAGAAAAGTACATGTAAGAAAAGTACATATAAGAAAAGTCCATATAGAACAAAAGAATTCTCTGCAAAAAAACATACATGTAAATTCCAAGGACAAGCCAGGCGGATTCGGAGAAATCACATTTTAAAGGACTTCGAACGAAATATTGAAAATTAGCCAGTCATTAAAAAGTCATGAAAAATAGTAAAATTAAACGTTGTTCAATCAAGCATGGTACTTTTGTCTTATCTTTATATCTTTGCAACCTAATGTTTTTGTTTGAAAAGTTTAAAATATCAACGGTTTACACAGTTAGGTGGATTAGGAAATTAGGGGTTGAGGCGAGTAATCACTATCTGTTTATTTGTTTTCAGGATTCAACTACATCTGTTGGGAAAATAGCTTTAGCTTTCTACTCGGGACTTTTTAGGAACAAATTTTGTACTTTTAAAACAGTGTTTAAGCACAGGGGTACAATTGTTTTATCAAGTTTAGCTTGGATAAAACTGTGAAAAATTTTGTAAAATTTCAATGGTTTGAATACTTAAAATATATTTGATTTGGTTATATTTAGAAAAAAAGAAATTTGGTTCATATCATTATTTTTGTTCAGTCGTGCATGTTTTTTGAATTACATTGCTAAGATTTTGTTGGTATAAACAATATCGGGTTGTTTTATCTGGTTGGGGTTGAATGGTAAGATTGGGTTTGGTTAAATTGCGAAAGATTTGTTGAAACTTTATTGTTTGATTGAGATTTTCAGACTTGGTTTGGTTTTATTGGCCAGGTTTGGTTTTAATGAAATGACTGGTCGGTTGGTTTGGTTTAATTGAGCCGGTTTGATTTTGTTAAATTGACAGGATTTGGTGAAGTTAAATTGTACAGGTTTGGTTTGGAAAAATGAAAGCGATTGATTTGGTTGAATCGAGCAGGTTCGGATTGCTTAAACTTGATAGGTTTGAGATGGAATTTAAAGAATTTGAGCCGAGGTTTAAATCCGCTAAAAACCGGTTTAAAGTAAGCGCCGGTTTAAAGTTTGAAACATTTGATACACTTTTAAGTGAAACCAACCATATATAAACCGCGGCTTAAATTTAAACCGCCGCTCAAATTCTTTAAATTCGGCCACAGGTTTGTTTAAATGGACCAGGTTATGATTAGTAAAATTGGCCTGGTTTGGTTTATTAAAATGAACAGGTTTGGTTTGGTTATACTAACAGGTTTGGTTTAGTAAATGAACATTGAACAAGTTTTGTTTAGTAAAATGAACAGGTTTGTTTTAGTTAAATGAACAGGTTTTGTTTTGTAAAATGAACAGGTTTGTTTTAGTAAAATGAACAGGTTTGGTTTAGTTAAATGAACAGGTTTGTTTTTAGTAAAATAAACAGGTATGGTTTATTAAAATGAACAGGTTTTTTTTAGTTAGATGAACAGGTTTGGTTTAGAAAATATGAACATGTTTGTTTTAGTTAAATTAACTGGTTTTGTTTAGTAAAATGAACAAGTTTGGTTTGGTTTAACTGGCCATGTTTGGTTTGTATAAATTGACCCGCGGTTCGGATTGGTTGAACAAACAGGTTTGGTTTGGATAAATGTGCAATGTTTTGTTTGGTAGTTTTGCTGGCTGGAACTACCTAAACTTTGTCACAGAAGAACTAACAGAGGTGATATTTTTAATTTTCCCATTTTTTTACAATTTAGTAAAACATTGTCCTAATTTAATCCTGGTTGATTTCCTTGTTTCATTTTCATAGAACAGGGTTTTATTTTTAATTATAATCTGCAAAATTAACTTTTCATTTCTAGCCTGAGAAAAATCTGCCGCGGGCTATTGCTATCTCGATGCCACTGGTAAGTGCAGATATAGTTTATATTTTACCGCCTTTTGGCCGACATATACCGTCTACAGACACATGATTCCCAAAACATTGGGAAGTTAAGTTACATACTGCCACTTTACACAATTAAGTAACAAAACATTCCTATTTAAAAAGTTACTGTGAATTTTCACCTCAAAAGACGAAAAAAATTGTATACAAATTCTTTTTTCACGAAAATTGGTCTTGGGAACACTTGGCTATGTAAAGTTCCTTATTACTTCTATGTGATGGAGTTAGAAATATAAAAGACTGTTCAAAAAATTCAAATAGTACCATCAACCATCAAATGGTATCATTACTTTTCGAATTACTAAACATAGTTCAATGCTGGAGATGTTTTATTAATATTTTTGTTTAAATAAATGATTTCTGGCTTCTGACTTTTTTAATTCGGAGAGTAAAAAGTATTTATAATGTATCTGTAAATTAGTTTTAATCACAAAATTATGAATTTTTATAAATTTTTTAAAAATGAAATCCCGATCATTATCTGTTCTATAGGTTACCGTTATCTACCTTCTGGTTAACTATTATCTGTTCTATAGGTTACCGTTATCTACCTACTGGTTAACTATTATCTGTTCTATAGGTTACCGTTATCTACCTACTGGTTAACTATTATCTGTTCTATCGGTTACAGTTATCTACCTAGTGGTTAACTATTATCTGTTCTATAGGTTACCGTTATCTACCTACTGGTTAACTATTATCTGTTCTATAGGTTACAGTTATCTACCTAGTGGTTAACTATTACCTGTTCTATAGGTTACAGTTATCTACCTACTGGTTAACTATTATCTGTTCTATAGGTTACAGTTATCTACCTACTGGTTAACTATTATCTGTTCTATAGGTTACAGTTATCTACCTAGTGGTTAACTATTATCTGTTCTATAGGTTACCGTTATCTACCTACTGGTTAACTATTATCTGTTCTATAGGTTACCGTTATCTACCTACTGGTTAACTATTACCTGTTCTATAGGTTACAGTTATCTACCTACTGGTTAACTATTATCTGTTCTATAGGTTACCGTTATCTACCTACTGGTTAACTATTATCTGTTCTATAGGTTACCGTTATCTACCTACTGGTTAACTATTATCTGTTCTATAGGTTACCGTTATCTACCTACTGGTTAACTTTGCTTACTTCACTGTTCTTTCCCCTACAGAGCTCCTGGCTAGTAATGCTGTTGCAGTGGTTAGTTCTTCTTTCAAGGACTGTAAGCGTAATTTCAAGCAAAGATGGCATTGTCTGATTCACGCCGGGACCCTTAAATGCTTCGTCTGTAGAAGAATGAATTAGATGTCATGTTTATAATTTTGAAAGCTAGTTATTTTCAGGTATGTTTTCTTCACATTTCTCCCGGAGAAACACATGTAGAAGATATCCCAATTTAACGACTATATCTTCCAAATTATTGATAAAATAAAGGTTTAAAAGGTACCTATGTGAATCGGACATTGCCATCTTTGTAACTTGAACTTACGCTTACATTTCTTTTAGAAATTTGGCAAAAAAAAGTTACAGCTTCAACCTTAAACGTGAGAAAAAAGTTCACATCAATTTTATACAGTCATCTCTGAAGTATAAAATTTTGGGACAATCCTGTATATTGTAATTATTTTTTTTGTCGTAATTTATTTTGTAAGCCTTTGGATTTGATTGAGAATGATAATTAGTTAAACTACGTAGGCTTTGCTGAACCACTTCAGTGCTGCAGTTAAAGTGGTTCAACCTAAATAGCAGTTCAAAAACTAAGTTTCAAGTGGTTAATTTTGGTCCAAAATTTAGTTTATTAAACTTGTCTCATGTTCAGACTTTTGGAAACAGATTATTGGGTGGTATGAAGTGGATTATACCAGTATTTGTGGCTTGCTCTACTTTCGGAGCAGTTAATGGTGGCATATTTGCATCTTCCAGGTAAGGGATAAATTCAGTTTTGATATTTAAAATGTCTAAATTTTTTAGATTAAATGAGGACACCATTTATAATGAAAATTATATATATATAAATATATATATTAAGTAGATTTCTCTGCTTGTACGTCCCATTGTAACATTTGAACCCCTAAACCTAAAATGTGCCTTTTGATTGAGAAGTCGATAAAGACACGGGCATATTCTTAGCTTGGATTATATGTTTAAATTAAAGTTGGTCAACTTATAAAGGATAAATTTAGATTTCCGAACAAGACAGGGTTCTAAAGCTGGTACTCAATAAAATGCAACTAGAACAAAATTCTTAATTTTTCTAATCAATTTTGGGGATACATCCTCGGAACAGGATTACAACATTTTTCAAACCCTCTTCCTTGAAATTAAAGTGCACTTAATTTTGAAAACTTATTATTTTTAAGGTTATTTTTTGTTGGAGCTCGTAATGGACACATGCCTCGCCTCATGTCACTGCTAAGCATTACTCATCTTACACCAATACCTTGTCTTATTGTTCTGGTAGGTTTTCATCTTACACCAATACCTTGCCTTATTGTTCTGGAAGGTTTTCATATTAAACCAATACCTTGTCTTATTGTTCTGGTAGGTTTTCATCTTACACCAATACCTTGTCTTATTGTTCTGGTATGGTTTTCAGCTTACACCAATACCTTGTCTTATTGTTCTGGTAGGTTTTCATCTTACATCAATACCTTGTCTTATTGTTTTGGTAGGTTTTATTTCGGGTTTCAAAGCAATTGTATTTTACTTGCGTCAATTTAACGTCACACAATTCCTTAATAGCTCACGTTTACTGGGAGAAAACGTTATTATTTCTAAATCGCAGTAAAGAATAACAAAATGCGGCACAGTGATTATTTTATAATTTAATAAGATGTGAGAAAAATATATAAACAAATATATTTATTTGATTTTATACAATATTGAAATAGCTGAGATGTGTATTTAGAATTATTCAATTGTCCCTGTCAGTTGTGTGTCACTTTAAATCTGATGGCTTACATGTACTACGGAGAATTTATTTTTCCATTTTTTTACTAATGTTTTACAATACATTTTTACAAGATGGAAAATCGCATTTCTTCTAAAAGTTTTGATTAAAAATTAAATTATTTAAAATCATAATAATTAGCTATATATTGTTTATAAAATAAAATTATTTAAAATCATAATAATTAGCTATATATTGTATAAAAAATTAAATTATTTAAAATCATAATGATTATCTATTGTTGTATATTGTAGTGTATAATAACCCTGGCTATGCTGAGTACCTCCAATGTACTTGTTCTCATCAATTTTGCTTCTTTCGTGGAATCTCTGTTTATAACAGTGTCTGTAGCTGGACTACTATACTACAGACAAAATTTGGTTCAAGGTCAAATGTGGTAACATTTCTGAACATGAAAAGAATAATTCCTGCGTTTTTAGTTTTTTTTGTAATATTTTTTATATATATTTTGGTATATTTGGCAAAAAAAAACTAATTATTTTACTGAACAAAATGCGCAAAGTAAAAAAAAATTCAGAAAAAGTATGAAAATTGTAATTAATTTGCGGATTTTTTTATTCCTAAGCCCAACTTGTTTTCCTTCGTAACATATTGGGTATCTAAGGGCAAAATGAAGCCTTTTATGTTTACATATTGTACTTTTTCTGTTAATATTGAAAATCTATTTTCTAAATCTAATTTTTACATGATAAATAAAGTTTTAAATCAACATTTTAATCTAAATGAACATTTTGTTTGTTTAAGGTGGAAGCATCCTGACCTCAGACGTCCAATAAAGGTTTAAAATAAAAAAGCTAATTAATCTGAATCACTAGTCTTTGCACCAAGTGATGGTTCAAACTACAAAGATTGTTTCGCTTTTAAAAATCTGTTAACTTTTTTACTTTATAAAGAGGTTCTAAACATCGATTTTTCTTACAGTTTGTCAAATTTTGACCCCAAGAGTAAATATATGCAAAAACTATCGGTCATTATAGTTTATTAATTTCCCTTATATTTTCTCTAAGGATATAAATATTTAAAAGTTTTACAAAGAACACTTTTACAAGTCCAAAAAGTCCAACAACAAACTAATGTCCCATCACTAATTAGATTTGCAATACATGTATTCTAGTGTATGTGAAAAAGTGATTTGCTGTATTTGAAGTACTTGATAAGCAGGATATTAAAAACCCAAAGAACCAAAATATTTTAGACAGCAATAAAAAACACAGCTCGTTTCATGATAAAAAACACGATGATTTATGGTGATCCAGTAATCGCAAATCTTATCTTTGATTTTGATTTTAGATATTTGGGAATTTTAAAATAGGAAGATGATGCATTTGATGTTGTTACAAAGGAAAGAGTGTTACTAGTAAAATCAATGTTAAGTTAATTGGGTCTTGCACCAAAAAGTCGTCTTCCTATCCAGTGTTTTCTGGTTCTCATTGTATCTTAATGAATGATCAGGGACCGAATGTAATGAATTTAAGCTCTGTTATGAAATATCTACCGCCGGTTCAAATCTTGAATTAACGATTCAATTTTGAATGATTTATGAATCGAAGATTCAGGATTTAAACCATCATTAGGTAGCTCAGCTACCTCTCCAATTTATTAAATTCGGTCCTTGGTCAAGTATTAGGACATTAATACAGTATACATATAAAGTTGCAAATTATAGAAGTTTTGAATGAAGACGATTTCAAATTTGTCCCAATATTTCTCCAAATATAACAATAGGAAAAGTAGGATTATTTTCTTTATATTGTATGTGAAAAAGTGGAAAATTGTGGAAAATTGAAGACGACATTGAATTTAGTTTATTTTTTAGGTTAACATTATCCTTCCTGTCCTATTCTTCGTGGTGTGTAGTGGACTAATCTGTATACCTATATACGCTCAACCACAGGTTTACATTTTTTTAATGAAGAAGCCAGATGTGTACAATTAGGGGTTCAGCCCCCCTGGATCCGTGAAATCTATAATTTCCAGGGGATGTTTGACCCGCTCAGCCCCTCCCCCCCCTTAAAAAGAAATTAAACTCCTGAGAGTGAGTAAGTTCCCAGAAAAAAGTTTTTTTCTGCAGTTTTTTTTTATTTTTACTAAAATGTCGCCAAGTTTTGTGTAATTTGTAAATGATATATTTCTAAAACATTGTAAAAATCTTATCATCATTTCTTAATTTAAAGTAAGATCAGAAACGACAATTATTCCACAGTTTTCTGAATTTGAGTTTTTGATTTCTTGTTTTTATTGTGAAGAAATAATTCACATTACCTGAGTGTTCATTTTTTTGTAAATGAAATATTTCTGAAGAAAAATTAAGTTAGCGAAACTTTTACGCGCCAAAATTTATGTAATATATAAAAATAAAAACTTTTGAATGTGTCCGTCAGCGTGAGATTTTTTTTCAAACTGCACACTTTTTTGTCAAATTTTAGGAAGTTGGGTTTGGTTTAGTGATAATAGGAAGCGGAGTACCTGTATATTTTCTCTTCATTTGGAACAAGAAACGACCTCAGTGTCTTAAAACAACAATTAGGTGAAAAAAATTTTTATGTTTTTGTTAAAAAATAGACGTTTCAGAAAAAACAATTATTCACATCAACACAAAACATTGTTTTAAAATTTTAATTTAACTTGCAATTCAATTATAGTCTTCAATGTACTCATTTTTCCCAGTGTTCTTTTTATTTATTTTTATTTTTTTGACAATACACACAGTTTTGCTAAATATATACTTTAATCTTCTTCTATCTCTTCTATTGTTCATCTAATATTTCAATATTTTTCCTTCTTAATTTTCACATTTCATATAAACCATTTTGTACATTGTAATTACTTTAGTTTATAATTCTTTTATTTTCTTGTATTTTAATGTTCAGTTTTTTCAACAAAAAAAAACAGTAAAAAAGTACATAACGGTTAAAGTTTTTATTTCTCGTTTTGATACTGTCAGAACCAGAAAACTCTGACATGAAAAGACGACTTTTCGACTCATGTTATATCTTTAAATAGGTGAATGAATATGAGATGAGACACAGAAATTGTGAAGTGTAAATAGATTTAAATAAATACAGGATCTAATAAGTTTCTAGTAAACTATTTACTTTTTAACAACATCAAATAAAATTTAGTATCGCTCTATGTCGTCCTTCTATACCATAGTTTTTTGGTTCTCACTGTACCTTATTTTAAATCAATTTTTCAGAAACCTTGATATCTTCGTCCAGAAGATTTTTTACGCTGTTGTGGAAGACGAATATAAAGAAGAGAATGAAGAGGAAGATAAAGAAGAGAATGAAGAGGAAGATAAAGAAGAGAAGGAAGAGGAAAATAAAGTTGACACTACTGAGAAGATTACACAAGAAGAAGAAGGAGAAGAAGATAGAACACAAGAAACAGACAAATTTCTTGTTTCCCCAGATCGAAAAAATGTTTAAAAAGAATAATTGTGCCAAAAACTTTTTTTAACTAATGAAGAAAAATTAAAGGAATTGATTTTTTGCCACAACCTCAAATTTTTTAATCACTATTTCTTTGCAACCTGATGATGTAAAATTTTGATATTTCAAACTTAGATTAATTAATGTAACACAATTCATAGTTTGAAATATCTCAGGTCTACGATATTGGATTGCAAAGATATAGGAATTAGAAAATCAGAGTTTGTGACCAGAACTCCGTTCCTTTGATTTTATCTTAATCATTTAACTAACTCGATTAAACTTTATTCTACCGTAGTTTTTTTCTCGTTTCACTATTTTTGTATAATTGTTATAAAAGTTAATTCGTTATAGTTAATTTTCTATTTTTTTAATGAAATAAAAAAACTAATGTTGATAATATTTAGGCAAACAATAAACTACATGTATACTAGAATATTTATGAATTTTATTGCCATCCCTGCATAAAATGTTAAAAAATTTGCGAAAATGCATAAATACTTATAATTATAAAAACTTTCTCAGTCAAAAAATTCAAAATTTAAGTAAATTTTCGTCATAATTATATTTTATGAGGTATTGAGATGAAAAATCTATTTTATTTCTTAAATGCGATCAAATAAGTCTTAAACTGAAAAAGGGGAGCTCTGAGCTCTCTAAAGATTTAACAATAAATTTGCAAAATTTTGACGCGATCGTTTTGTCTACATAGTACATCATGATGTAAGTCATAATTTTGAATTGGAGCGGGAGAAAATATGTTCGGTCTACTGCAATTATACTGAATATGAGGTGCATGAACAGATTTAGAATAGATATTTAATCTTCTTTTTAGACTTAAATTTCTTTTTGTAACAACTCGTCTTAGATAAAGGGACTGACATTAGTGTTTTCTGACCTTTCACGTTTGTGTGCCCAATGTTTGTACTAGCGCTATATACATATACTAGACTTTCTGTTCAAAAGCACTTTGAGCCCATTTTCTATTTCAACTTTTAATTTTGCCTAACTCTAAGCATTTTCAGTTCGTGCTTCTCCATAAAGAAATAACAAAAAAGTTATAGGATTTAGTCATATTTTTTCGTGGAATTTTAAAATGTTACAAAAACCAGGATGTTTTGGTTAATTAATTAAACACCCAGACCCCATCGGGCCCAACATGTTTGAGGCAACTGACATGACCCCGGCTGGAAGGTTTATGGATGCACAGAACTGTACAAATTTGCCGCAGAACAACAATTTAAAGTTAAAATCAAAGATTGGCGAGTAAACCCCTGAAAGCCTGTATAGTCACTTTAAAAAATTGGTAAGAGACAGGGAGTAAGGAATAGAAGGGAGATATAACTGACGTGGTTCGCCCTACCATATGATTATGCGTGCTTTGCAGACGGGTACTTCATTTATAAAAAAAAATATTCAGAATAGGTAATTGTTTACGCGGTAATTGTACACCAGACAAATATTTCTTATACAAATGGAGTACCGTCTGCAAAGCATGTATAATCATATGGTAGGGCGAACCGCGTCAGTTATATCTCCCTTCTATTCCTTACTCCCTGGTAAGAGATAAGCAATTTTTAATTTTTAATTTAAGACCCATGCAAGTTTGGTAAAGGAAGACGAGATTATAAGCAATCTTATTTGCATTTAATGTTATCTATATACTTTCTACAAATTTTTGTATGAATGATTTGCCATAATGAATGACAAAAAATAAGTTGCAAAATACATTTATATGCAAGATTTTACATATCATCTATTCATCACTGTGATCATTCCATCTAAAGTATTGGTTAAAGCTAAGAAGAAAAAATTTTACACTTAAAAATAGTTTTAAAAAGAGTTTTATTTTTATTTTTAAGCTAAGAGGAGTAAGTAACCTATTCCCCAAAGTTTTTATTTTTGAAATTATTTCTTTATAAAGTCAACCCAGACCAAAATATATTTTCAATAAATGTGGAACAAACATCTACTTTTTTTTAACTCTACAAAGGTTTGGTCCATCACCATCACCGAATTTTATATCAATAAAAGTTTGTTTATTTGAGAAGTCTTTTGCTGGTCTCCAAAAGGATTCCGTGGGGTTCGGGTAGTTCTTCTAACTTCCTGGGTTCGAACAGGATATTGCTGGGTTCACGGCCGCATACCCTCCCCCTCCTTGACATGCCAGAATTACATGAAAACTTGATGGGACGTGATTCCTTCAAAACGTGACGTGCCGGAATTCCTTTCAAACTTGACGTGCCGGGATTCCTTTCAAACCAACTTGACGTGCCGAGATTTCTTGAAAATATGACGTGTTTGTAATCCCTGGATTCCTTCGAAACATGACGTGCCGGCCCGTTTTCTGCAAAGATAATCTTATCATAAGTTAGAACTATTTTTATTTATTTATTTGAAGAATCTTATCAATTTACAAGATATATGATAACATATAGATATAGATAAGTAGATGTATAAGGTGTTAAAAAAATTATCGTTTTATGTATAATTAAAAATAAATAAATATACATTTTTCAAAAGGGTTTAAATATTAGAAGGAAAACGATGTTATTTATAAATTAATTTTTTTAACCTCCCGTTTTTATACTGTTTTTAATATTGAGAAATCAAATGATAACTTTAGTCTGTAATGTACCAAAGAACAAACAAGAAGTCCAAAGATTATGGCAAATTAAGTGAGAAATTGGAATTTCTAGTCACTTTTTCTGTGTTTTTTATTGGATAGATTATATGCAAAATATATATCTTTTAAGTGTTAAAGAAGTATATTTTTTTCAGTCTATATAAACTAGCTTTAAAGGTTTCATCTTATATTAGACTTTGTGGAACCCAGCTTTGCCAACTAATCAACGTAGATTTTTAACAAATCCAAGAACATCACGTGATTCTGCCGAGTTCCCCAATTAAAATATGAGACACATTGGTCAATTTTGATGCGTTTCTTCCAATATGAGTTTGTGATGTCTTAAAAGCCTCATCTCAATGTATGGTCATCTCTATAGTGAATTTTTAATATGTGTCATTTTAGTTATGTTTCATTTTTTAAATATTTCATTTTTCCTCTAACACATTTTTCTTCATAGAAAATTGCTCTACAAGAACTGACGCTTACGCAAATTATTTGGCGCAAATAAAAAATTCTATTTAAGATCGTTTTCTAAGTAAATAAGTAAAAGACTCCTTGCACTGTTTGACCCCTCCTGAAGTATAAGGAATGTCACCGCCAAGGGGCTTGGCTCTATCTGTAAGAACTTGCTAAATGCAAGGAAATTACACCAGGAACCACAAAATGTTTGTATTAGGAAAAACCCTTTTTTAAGAAAATTATCAACAAAGATACAATACACTTGTTAGTAAAAAAAAATATATGATAGTTCCTGGTCTATCTTTTTTAGTTCCTGGCATGGTTGAAGAAACCAGTATACAGAGCTACCCATATCACAGTATATAATATACCTAGATGTAAAAAAATATCGTTTAACTATTTTTAACTATAAATTTTTTCTATAAATAGTTAAAATTATTATTTTTCTTTCTTTTAGACAAAATATTTATCGCTTATCCGTATTTATTAATCTTATGTAATAATGTTAAGAATTCATTGCACTCTTACGTTCAGTTTCATAACAACTACAATACAAAGTGTACCTAAAAAAGTAATCCCTCTAAACAGGATAAGATTATGCGTCATGTATTCCCGTAGAAAACTTTGAATATTTTTGTTTGATTTTCATGATTGTTTCCAATCACAATCTTAAATTTGAAAATTTAAGAAATATTGTAAATTTATGTTTACAAAATTATTTTAAAATTTTCATGTGTATTTGGACAACCTGTTTTTAAACCCAAGTATAAGCTGTTTATCCAGTTTATCTTAACCTTCTAACTGTTCAAACCAACCAAAACTATATTTTTTTATATTTAATTGAATTCTAATATCAAATTTGATATTTTGTTTGTAAACCATATGACGAAATTTCCATCCGAAAAAACTTAAGATTTTTTTTCTTAAATAAAATCGTTAAAATAGAAAGAAATGACACAATTTAACCTATATTTCAATCTAAAGTCATCTTTTTTCAGATTACAGTAAAAATGGAATCCGAACGAAGAGATCTGGAAAAGGTATATTATTTATAAATATTTAAATACAGAAATTTCGCATTATTACAAAATACAGTGAGTTCCATAGGAGTGCGATTTTAGACTCAATTTATGATTCTAGCTAGTGTAATAAGCTTGAAATTCGGGAATTTTGAAGTGAACACAATCCCATTTCACTAAGATGGTTTCTTGGGTTCCTTGGGTCCTAGACATTAATTCATCAGTAAATTTAGCTTCATGGAATTATTAAATTACACATTAATCTGTAATGTAATGTGCTGCCAGGAGCAATACAATCTTTATTATCTATGTTTCGTTATCTATTTTATCTATGTTCATGTTAACCCTGACCGGCCATTCCGGTCAGTTCTATTTACCTGTGTTAATAAATTAGTGATATATGAACCGTTGATTTATACGGACGTGTATAGAGCCTTGAGTTTTGGCTAGAGTTTTAGAGCCTTGAGTTTTGGCTAGAGATAGAGTCAGTGAGACTAGAATTAGACTAAGAGCAGAGTAATCTCGGGACCACGATTTATTACAAATCTTTCTTGTTGTTAACTTTCTCATAGGGTGTCCAAAAAATATTATTAAAAATGTATAATCTAACAACAGTATAAAAATCTGCATTTTGTTTGTATGATAATCGGTTCAAAAGTTAAGATTTTCTTTTACCATAAACATAAAGCTTTCTAAAATAATTGACTCTTTGTCACAAACTCTGATTTTCTAATCCCTATATCTATGCAAATCAATGTTTTAGTACTTAGTTTAGTTAGTATGTGTCTATACAGGATGAATTTGTGTGGCTTGAACCTCCACAAACAACACAGAGATCAGAGACTTTAGAGAATACAGATGATACAGAGAATACAGAGAACACAGAAAATAATGAAAACACAGATGATGTAATCAATTCTCAGGTTCGTAGATATTATAACTAAGTTTTATAAAAAAATATAAAACACAAAACAAAATTTTTAATGAAAATTATCTTTTCCTTGATTCTTGCCATAAAGAATAATATTTCAAAATTTTGATACATCTTTATTTCGTTACTAGCTTGGGAACCCAGCGATGCCCAGTTTGCTCATAGTTAATTCCGCTGTTTACCCGCACTTGGTCGATTTTAACGGAAAACTAAAATATCTCTTAAAAGTCAACCCACTATATTAAAAATCTCGAAACCAAGCTAAGAACATTCCTGTGGTTCTCACGAGCTCACAATCAAAATTTGAGGCAAATTGGTCAAGGGGTTCCTAAGTTCGGACAAACAAACTTTATAAATAGATGCCTCTGAATTCGGAACTTAATCAATAAATCTGTTTCTTAAAAGATATAAATTGCTCCTTATAAGAAAATATTGTATTTAAATCTATCAGTGTCCAATTCTCAGAGACATTTATCCAAACTGCCATAATCAAAAGCAGAATGTTTACTCGAATTGATGCTACCTTCAATTCAATTTAAAAATTATCAAAGGTAAACAATATCTATAAAATAAAGAACTTCGCAAATAAATGTCTATTCATATAAATTTTGTTTTTGATTAAATAATAAATTGATTATTTATATGATATGTATAATAACTTAAGAACCCAGTACTGCCAACGTGACTAAAAGTTACTCCCGCCGTTTATCCACACTCGAACTATTTTACCAGGAAACTAAATTTTCGCTATTAAAGTTGACCAACTTAATTTTGAATCTCAAAACCAAGCTAGGAACATTCCTGTAGGTCTCCCGAGCTCCCCAATTAAAATTTGAGGCAAATCGGTCCAGGGGGTTCCTAGTTATGATCCGACTAACAAACATAGATTACAACTTTGTATATAGATAGAATAGATATGTTCGCTAAGGCTAGACCATATTGGCTGACAATTTTTAAGGAACATCCTGGGGATGACATTGGCTGAAAGAAATTTTCAAATTTCTAAAATTCGTCGGGCAACGCCTTGGGCACTTTAGCTAATCTCTTAATTTTTGTACCACCTAGCACGGATAAACGACAGAAGTAACTATGAATATGAATTATATAAAAAAACCTAAAAAAAACTGGGCAACGTGGGTAAATCCTTTTAGGGTGCTTGGACTGGACAAGTATGGAGTAAATATATACAAGACGTTGGTATACATCAGGCAAAACAGGTAACCCCCTCCCCTCCTCCCCCAAGCTATGACCATAAATTGAATTTAAAAATTTACACCAAAAAATAAAATTAAATCGTAAAATGCTTCTGGAAAAATAAACTAATTTCTCGCCTCGACCTCTAATTTTCTAAAAGGGGGGTGGAATATATTTACAAAATTTTATCAAGTTACTGAGATTCCATGCTTCATCTTGATTTTGTCGACCAGTAAGTCAGGAAAGTCGAAGAAGTCGATAAATTAGACCTCTGGGGTTTTACCGGGACAGGTTCTCACTACATATATGATAGGTCAAAAAATAATTGCGTTATTTAAAGATTTAATTGTTAAAAAAAAAAATTGTTTTCCCCGAATTTGGCGAATTTTGTTGATTAAAACTAGGATTTTTAATCGGAATTCCGTTGCACCGAATTGCTCGCAATGATTGCTTCCCCTTAGGCCATTTTATTGCGCGGAATTGCGCAATAATTGCAAACAAGAAAGCAATTATATAATCGCGGTGTTGAGCGGAATTGCTTGCAATTGCTTTTACATCTAAAAATCAATAATTTTAACTGTGACTTACAAACTGCAGCAGATACATACAAGAATGGAAATATCTCTGCAGATTTTAAAATAATGGAGGCCCGAGGTCAAATCTTAAAGTTTCTTTTGGTTAAGCTACTAATTAGCAATTCAATATGATACATTTGTTATTCACATTGGATAACAATAAAATGGAAACTTTTGTTGGTTAAAATTGTAAGGTTCGTTTAATCAAAATTAGATATTTTGCTACAGTGAGAACCAGAAAACTATGGTACAGAGAGTGTATTTGATGTTGTTATTAAGAAACAAATTTTGATTAGTAACTTGTTCAGTTGAATGGATCTGCTTGAGTCTAAATGTCGTCTTCCTTTGTCAGAGTTTTCTGGTTATCATGCTGCATATGGATTTTATAAAATAAAAGATTAAGTGTAAATGCGCAAAACTTAATTGCCATTATTGCGTGCCATAAGGTTTAAATAAAATATTATCAAAAAATTGAAACACAAACGCAAGAAAATTGGACGAAAACGCGCAATTCCGTTGCGTTTATTGCGCGCAATCGCAATTGTGCGCAATTAAAATCCACTTGCGTTGGAAACCATAATAACAACGCTTGATTGATTTTGACTAATTTGATGCGATCTACAATTGTCCCATTGCCAATCACAATAGTTATTTTTATAAAGTCATCGGAGAATTGGAATTCCCAGGATATCTAGCATATTTTATATAACATTGTCAACCATTAACAATAGGCTCCGTGTAAAGTCGTCTTTAACTTAAGTTCCCTCTCGGAGACACCAAACCAAACAATTTTAACCCCCCTTTTCTTTGTTCTCTCTGACGGAGTCATAAACAAAAGCCTCGCGTATTGTGAATCTATTTTTCAAAAGTTAAATAGAGAATAATTTTTATATAAAGAATTTATAGTGACTTTCGTTGATAATCAATTGTCATCTTATTTCAGAAGTTTAAAACGTCTTTTAGTACTGTTCAACCATTGTTACCCCCCAATCACCCACAAATAGATCGTAAGGATTCTTTTCATTATAACATTAATTTTAACATTTGTACACGTAATCAATACATGTAATTTTTCAGGAAATAAAGAGAATTTTCGTTATCGATTTTTGAGACGGGGGTTCATTCTGTTGTGAGTTTGCTGTTCAATCGGGAAATATTGTTGGGAAATATACCTCCTTCAACGACTGATTTCAGCGGGCTTATTATTCATCATCTTGAGAATCTAGTTTTCTATCCGTCAACAAACATACATAATTTTTCTTCTCGTTAAATCTGTTATTTTACTTTAGGGTTCGGAGGAGGACAGTGAAGAAGAAAAAGAAAAGGAAAAAGGGAAATGGATTGGTCAGATCTGGACAAAATATCTTTAAAGAGACAAACAAAAAATTCCCCATAAAAAGTTGATGTAACAATTAATTTCTCATACAAGTTGTAACAATTCATTCCCCATAAAAAGTTGATGTAACAATTAATTCTCCATAAAAAGTTGATGTAACAATTAATTCTCCATAAAAAGTTGATGTAACAATTAATTCTCCATAAAAAGTTTATGTAACAATTAATTCCCCATAAAAATTTTAAGTAACAATTAATTCTCAATAAAAAGTTTATGTATCAATTAATTCTCCATAAAAAGTTTACGTTTCCCATGAATAAATGTAGAATAAAGTTATTTTGATGCATAATGATGTAGCAAAAATGAATACAAATATGTATATTCAAGACTAATAAAGTACTCCAGGGGATAAACCTGAGTCCGGGAGTTTCTTGAATATAAAAAAACTTTTATCTTTTTTTCCTTTTACAATTATGAATTGCTCTCATTTGAATTATCAATTATGATGCACATTGTGCTTTGTAACTTTTTATAACAGGTTTAACATGTACATTAACTTAGGATGCTGTAAAGAATTTGAGTCTTTGCCACAAACTCTGATATTCTAAACCTGTTGTCTGCGCAATCTCATTGAATTCTGTTAGATCCCAGTTTGAAACATCAACGGTTGCAAAGATACAGGGATTAGAAAATTTGAGTATGTGACAAAACTCAATTCCTTTGCATTTTATACAAATTTTCTTTTTTCTTCTTTTTTTGGATCCATTTTTAATTAAAGAAGTGCACTGTTAGTCTTATATTTTATGGATTTTTTCATTTTTCAATCCTTCCTAACTTTCTTACTTTGTTTAATTGCTCTGTGTCCCGGGAAAAATTATAAAAACAAAATTCAAGAAGTAAATCGTGTCTTATCCACGGACATTTTGTGCAAAAATATAAAAAAATTGTGAAAAATGTGCAATCCTTTTTTTCCCTTTTTTACTTTTTTGAATTCATTGTTTCAAGACCAAGGTTTTATTGTATTTAAAAAATATCTAATTTGCAGGATTGTAATCCAGCGCAGAAAACGTCAAATGATCGAGCCAATAATAAAACGGTAACTTATGAGAATATCGTGGGAACATCCTTCTTGAAAAAAAATCTGTGAAGTAATTTTTTGTTTTTTTTGATATAAGTGGGTCAGTTACATTTGCTTTAATACTTTTGCCATAAGTACATTTATTATGGCAAATGTATTTATGGCTAAAGTATTTTGGCAAATGTATTTATGGCTAAAGTATTTTGGCAAATGTATTTATGGCTAAAGTATTTTGGCAAATGTATTTATGGCTAAAGTATTATGGCAAATGTAACTGAGCCTATGAAAGCTTAGATTATACAAATTTCAAATTAAAGAAGACTGCAACGTCAGAATTTATAAAGTACATTATATAAGCTTGGAAACCCATATTATACAATTTCTTTGGTTGTCTTCTTCAAGTTGGGTTTACTGACTAAAAGCAGCAAACTAACCAACAATATCAAAACCAAAGACACTTAAAAAGAAATTATCCCTGGCTTTTAGATTTAAAAAGCTGTAGGTTCTAAAGGTATAATCCTTGTAAACTAATGTTTCGATTAATCAGAATAAAAGGCTGAGAATCCATTTTGTAAACAAAGGTTTCTGGAAAAAGATGAATTTCCATATTTCTAGATAAATCTATAAGATAAAGATAGCTATGGATACAGTGGTTAACAGAAAACTGCACCAAGGAGGTGGTCTTCGTAATTCTTCTTGCTAAGAAATGCGCTAAAGTATTTCACGTTAGAGGAACTAAAGGGTCACTAGTAAAGTTGCATTAATCTTCTCCTCGACCTCAACTGTCTAGGTTGCAGTGATATTTTGTAGTTGTTTAAACGAATATATGTCAACAAATTTAGAAGGGTCAGAATTAATAAATAACTACCTCTCTAGAAAGTGTGGACGATAGTGTATGGGAAAAGGGGTTCAACTAGCAGTACTTAGTTCAAATACTTTTCAATTTATAAAATTCGATCATAACATTCTTAGAAAAAAACCAGCATGTAATTAATTTTGGACGCTTTTTGGTTTCGCCGGTATTTAACTTTTTACATCAAATAGATGAATAAAAACATGAAAATATTAAAAAATAGATTTTCAAGTACTTGATAATCTATGTTAAAAATAAAAATGGTGTTAGAAATCGAAACTCGAAAATCTAACTCTGAACAACAATTTATTTTCGCATTTTAAACTTTTGGTCTCCAAGTATAGTTACGTGAACGTCTTTTAAGTTTTTATTTTGAAAACCCGTCGAATTTTTCAATGTTGCAAAATTTCTCTTTTTGCTAACTCTGCATTCTACTTCTACGAGGGGGTAAAGTTAAAAACTCATCTGATGCATAAAAATGAATATCTAATTCTGTTTGATTTTTCTTAATACCCTCTTCAACAAACTTTTTCCCCCTGGAAACTTTTCATTTTTCCCCCAGGGTGTAAACGTACACTGCCAGGGAGAAAAGAATCCTTCAACTTATGTTCTTAAAGGGATTGTTCACTAAAATGAAGAAAAACATTTAAAATTCTAGAATTAGAAAACTGACACAGCATTTTTGCAACGCTCGTGGATTTAATAAATATCTAGTGCATTTTTTATAATCAATTACCAAGAACAAAAGAGCAAAAATTAGAAAAGTATAAGACGCTGTGAGTTTTTTTTTTCGTTTCGGATATATCTCCTGAAATGACACACTTGAAATATTAGAAAATTTTGTTTTCTGGAAAGATATAAATGTTTTTTCTAGATTCCAGAATTTACAAAAATGTTTTTCCTCTCAACAATTTCCTAAACAAAAAATGTAATATTCTTGGTTTTATTAATTTATTAAATTTCGGGTCTTAAAGGAGTACTTGTAGAAAACTACAACAACTGCTTAAAGGAATACTTGAAGAAAGCTACAACAACTGCTTAAAGGAATACTTGAAGAAAGCTACAACAACTGCTTAAAGGAATACTTGAAGAAAGCTACAACCACTGCTTAAAAGAATACTTGAAGAAAGCTACAACAACTGCTTAAAGGAATACTTGAAGAAAGCTACAACAACTGCTTAAAGGAATACTTGAAGAAAGCTACAACAACTGCTGAAAGGAATACTTGAAGACAGCTACAACCACTGAATACTTGAAGAAAGCTACAACAACTGCTTAAAGGAATACTTGAAGAAAGCTACAACAACTGCTTAAAAGAATACTTGAAGAAAGCTACAACAATTGCTTAAAGTAAAGCTACAACTAGTGCCTGAATAAAAGCCAAGATATAGTACAAAATAAGTAGTAAGTAGGCCAAAAGAAAATTCATGAAGATTATCCAGTACAGTTTACAAGTAGCTTTAGAATTTTGTTGTGAACAAAGAGTTTATGTTGATATCTTCTATGCGATCTATTTCATATTTATGCAACGTTTACTATTGGATCTTCATTCTTCAAAATATCGAATCTATTCAATAAAGTCATGGATAAGAAAGAATTTGAAGGACTTCACAATAAAGCATCAAAAAAGTCATATTTCATTTAAAGTCCTCTAAAAAAAGTAATAAAAGACTTTTTTCTGGATACTGTACTAAAACCGCCATTAAAGTCACAGGGGAAAAAATCTTAGAAGAAACATATTATCAAACCGAGGTTTTTTTTTAGAGGGCTGTACAATTATCTATTACTGTTTTCCTTGTACTTTTAAGGATGAAATCATATTGTGACAGAAAAAATAAATCTTTCTTAAACATTTTTGCAGCACACAATTATTTGACTTTTTCTTAAGAGTTTTTTTTAGGTGATTATAGAACTTTTTTAAATTCTTTTTAAATTGTGACTTTAATAGATGTCACAGAGGTTGAAATTTGATTGAATAGATATATGGATAAGTATATTCGGTGTTTGAATTTAATGAATTTAAGCCACGTCTTATATCCCCCAAAAACCGGTTTTAATTGACCGCCGGCTTAAATCTTGAAATATTTATTACGAATTTAAGTGGAACCAATCATATTTGAGCCACGGCTTAAATTTAAACCGTGGCTCAAATTCTTTAAATTCGGCCTCTGGTAGAATAAGAGTTCTTTTACTGGGAATTATTAGGCGGTTGCTAAAAAAATATTTTGAAAAAACTGAAAATCCCATTTATGTGTACTGCAGTGTAGTTTATATGCACTACCCTCAAAGGAAACTATTAATATTTAAATATAAAAATATTGAAGGTCTCATAAATTGTTTCCTCTCACACTTTTCTTCCAGACAGGGTTCCCTTGGGGTCATCTTCACTACTCTTTACATCAGAATTTATTATCGTTTTTATGCAGTGTGTCCCACGAAAAATGGCAGTTTTGAATTGAAGAAATGTTTTATTTTTGATATGGCTTGCGGCATTTTTTCGAAAACCTAACTTCAGAAGTAAATTCTAGAATTAGTAGTTACAAAATACCACTAGTCCTGGCGTTTCCAAAATGTGGTCTGCCTTTATCGTACTTTCAAAATTACAGGAGAAATTAAGAATCTCAAACAAAAATTTATAAATTTATTTGATAAATTACATTCTGAGGAGACCACATTTTGAAAATGCCAGGGCTACAGAAATTTTTGTTTTTAACAAAAATGCTTCAAATTATTTTAGAGATCTTTCAGTTCTTATGTTTGTGGGACACTCTGTTTTTATTATAAGAAAATTTCAACTTTGAATTTGTACAGAAATGCTTCACAAAAATAAGAAAAATTTGTAGATGACACAATTTATTTATCAATGATTAAATACTAACAAATTCTTGTTGACTAGACTTCATAATTTTGACTCTAATCTTGATTAGATTCTGTTCTATTATCTTCTTTGTTTTCAGGGAAGTAAGAAACTAAACTGCTTTTACTGTTGGATAAATGATACAGGGCTTATAAACCTGAACTGAGAGAGATCAAGACCATTATCATTGAAGAGAGATCTAACCGGTGCTCCTTGTTGAACAATCTGAGGAAACTGCCTGACGGTAGTAAACGCGGGTGCGGTGTGTACAGCGTGTACGGCATGTGCAGGGTGTTCACCTTCTCTTACAACAGAAAATGCGGGAGTAGCATGAAGAGCATGAACAGCTGTTGGCTCTCTAAGCACCGGGAAGTTACGTCCTGCAACTAATTGGGGCCCATCAACGGTATGAACAACATGACCAACATGAGCTTGATCTACAGCAGGGAATACTGGGAACTGCTGAGAAGCAAGAGTTCTTCTTGAAGTCTGGGTTTGTGCAGGAGCTCTGGCGGCAATAATGGTTTCTTCAGGTAAAGCTGCTTGAGATGCAACAATTGGAGCAGGACTGGGTACAGCTGGTTGTGCAACAGGAACAGCAGAATGAGGTGCAGGGTTGAAAGGAATAGCAACAGGACCTTCTGCTCCATCATAAGTAACCTTAGCTTGGAATCCATGAAGAGCATCAGCGGTGTAAGTAACTGTTCTGATTCTACCATCAGGATCAGCAACGGAGTAGGATCCGCGAACAACATCCCCATCTCTACTCTCCTCCCTCCTCTTAGAGTCACCTGTCACAGAATCAGTAATGGAATATCCAAAGTTGTATTGAGGATTCAGATCATATCCTTCTTCACCAGCTGTTCTAACAGCAGTAACAGCAGGAGCTCCGTAAACTTCATCATCGGATATACGGACTAGTTGGACAGCAGGAGAGTTCAGGCGGACAGTTTGAAGACCTAGGGCGGAGGTTGTTAGTCTCCGCCCGACCAGAACTTTTCTTTGTCCGCCTTGGACAGAAGCGCTCAACGCACAGAGAAGCAGTGAAATCTAAAATAATGTTTTTAAATCAATCCAAATGAGCTGCCAGGAATTACAAATAAGCTGCCAGGAATCCAAATGAGCTGCCAGGAATTACAAATGAGCTGCCAGGAATTACAAAATGAGATAAAGTTTAGTCACACAGCTTAAATACTTTAAGGGACAGTTAACATAATTTCAAGGGACCCTCTATTGATAGATTTGCATTTGATTCAGAATTGTTTCCTTAAAATGTAAAAGCTTTGTCTGATCAAGTATGAATTTAATATCGTAAATGAATTGAGTCTTTGTAACAAACTCTGATTTTCTAATACCTATACACTTATATGATGGTGGAAACCTTTGATATTTCAAACTTAGATTTTTTCATATAACAGAATTCATAGTTTGAAATATCTAAGGTCTAAGGCATTGGATTACAAAGATATAGAGATTAGAAAATCATAGTTTGTGACAAAGACTCAATTCCTTTCTCTTTAAAAAGTTAAAATAATGGGTTGAGTTGATCTTCTGTGTATATATGGGGGTTTAATTCATTTGGAGCAAGTTTGAGCCAATTTATAAATTACCCACTGTTCTATTCTAGACATTCAACTATCAAAAATTAGAACAGTTACATCACATTCACATATATGTTTGCATTTTATGTTAAATATTTATCTAAAACTCAACGTTTTCCTCAACAGATGAATTGCAACTTTGCTAGTTCTTTTTAGATATTCTTTCTTTGAAAAAACATTAAATAAATTTTATAATGTAATTCATTTTTTTCAAACAATCGAAAATTTTTTGTTTTAACTTTTTACTTTATTTAAAAGAACGGAAAAAATGTTTTGATATTCCTTAGTTAGCGTTTTTTTCTAGATAAACTGTTTTGCTGATTTAAAAAATGTTTATTCTACAACACAAATTTTATTTTTTTCAGAACATCCAGAGGCGTAATATGGCATTCTTTGTTGAGCTCCAAAAGAAGAGGAAGTATAAAAAGAGGAATACTCAAAAACCATTAAAGCCAATGATTTAGCATGTGAATTATTCACCTTAGTGAGCATCTTTGTTGGATAGTCTTCTAGAACTGATTAAAGAGACAATGTTTCTCTCTATTTATACCTCCTTTATTGTAACAAATATTCTGTACTGGCGCACCACTCTGGTCCTCACTGCAGTGTACTGGCGCGGCTAAATTCCTCGGAGATTTCAATACCCGACACAAAGGCTAGCTATTTGCAACCTGGAATGGGGTTCCTAATTGGGACTCTACGTGGTATCTAGGATGAGTAATGAAGCTATGATTAGAATATGAAGTAAAGATAGAATATTTTATTATTTGAAAAAAATCGTTTTTAAACAAATATAAACTTTAAAAGTAATGATCTAATTATTAAAAAAAATCACATAATTTAAAACATTCTTTAGGTCCGGCAATATCAAGTTCTAGCACAAGTTAGATTAATATACACATGTCTTCTAAGAATTAAAACCTAATTTAAGCACATATTGTATAGCGAAGAGCGCAAGGGACTATCATTCAGTAATAACCAGAAAAACTCTGAAATAGGAAGACGACTTTTAAGCTCAAGTTATGACTTTGAATAGACCAATATGCAAGGGATACAGCAGTTGTGAAATGTAAACAGACCCAAAATTTTGCTATAAGACGTCTTCCTATTTCAGAGTTTTCAGGTTATCACTGAAAAAAAAATACAAATGTATAAAAAACATAAAGAAATTTACAGTACTAGTAAGATCAGGGTTTCTAACTAAAAATTTATAATTTTTTTAGAGAAATAATGGTTCTTTTGACACTGAGAAACTTTCATCTGTTAGCCATGACTAGTTCTTGTGCATTTTCAAATAGGTGAACAATATGGAGGAAATTGTCAGAATTGGACACTTTTAAAGCTAGAAAAACGACAATTTCTTCCACATCAAATAATGGTACAAAGGATAGTTACTTGAAATAACAAGGACAGTCCCTTTATTCTAGAATATACCGTTGCCAATTTTAATGCATTGCTTAACTTTAGATATTTTCTTAGGCGCATATTTTCTGTCTGTTTATCTTGGGTTCAGCCATATCTAAACCTGAAATAATAATTATATTTCCTTTATAAGTACTAGGCTTTCAGAGCTCTTCGTACCTCCTTTCATGTTAACAATATCTTAAAATTCGAGTATTTGTTAAAATAAAAAATCTCGAATTTTTTTCCGTGCAAAATTTGACATCTTTAACCAGTCATAAACCTTCCCTGGGGTCATGCCTTGAAATTTTCTACTTCCAATATCTTTGCAACCTGATGGTGTAAACCTTTGATATTTAAAGTGCAGCGGGACACCCTCAACTAAGCTGTCGGTGTCTGCTACAGTGATTTGCAGTACTTTGACCAAAGAATTAGTTGTTTAGAGGGGAGGGAGAGTGTTTTTGTATTTTACAAACTACTCTTTTCATTCTTCATATCACTGATTAGACTAGACATCAGAGTCTAGCAGCCAGGCCTTCATATCCCTGATTAGACTAGACATCAGAGTCTAGCAGCCAGGCCTTCATATCCCTGATTAGACTAGACATCAGAGTTTAGCAGCCAGGCCTTCATATCACTGATTAGACTAGACATCAGAGTCTAGCAGCCTGGCCTTCATATCCCTGATTAGACTAGATATCAGAGTTTAGCAGCCAGGCCTTCATATCCCTGATTAGACTAGACATCAGAGTCTAGCAGCCAGGCCTTCATATCCCTGATTAGACTTGACATCAGAGTTCAGCAGCCAGGCCTCCATATCCCTGATTAGACTAGACATCAGAGTTTAGCAGCCAGGCCTTCATATCCACGATTAGACTAGACATCAGAGTTTAGCAGCCAGGCTTCCAGGAAAACACAATGACTGGAACTTGTTACATTTAATACGTTAATTTAAGTGTCCTCTCATTAAACAAAACAAAAAGAATAGAATTTCCGATTCACAACCGTACCTTTTAAACCAATAAAAATTAAGATTATAGTGTCGTGTTTCTTTCTTGAGACGTATTTAATTCTAAAAATTCACTCAGTTGTGTCTGCAGCATAAATCTTCAATTCACCCTTACAGAGAAACTATAATTGAAAATAATCATTGACTTAAAAGAAAATCAAGCAAAAGATGTGCATTCTTTACTATAGGCTTTCCTTCGCTAGACTCCCGGGGTTTTCTTCAACAAAAAATGATATATATTTAGATCATGTACAATATTGAAAAATAGCTGACATCTAGTTGAGATCGTATAGATTGTCAAGTACTTGATAATCTATTTGATTGACATTACCCTTTTATTATTAACATAATTTGAAAGTTAAAATTCTTAATCTTTAATTATTAATTTAAAGGGAGTGTTCGCGAAAAATGAAATGGGTATAGGTTTAATGCGATAAAAAAGCGCTTTTGATCGCTAGTTATCTTACTTCTAACTGTTGTGTCTATAAGGAGAAAGTTGTTAAAAACGACTAATACCGAAGAACATAATAGTGTCCATACAAATTCAGAAAGATTCAACATTCATCGTAAACATCGTAAAAAAATCAATTTAATTCCAAACAAATTATTCAGATATACCAAACAATAGTCATCGGTTATTTTTCGACGCATTCGTATAAATAGTTGATATTTCATAACATTTTGTATTTTTCATGATCTGAGAGTTACTTTTGAAAACATTTATTCCTGTTTCGAGGATTTTTGATAATGAAGACAACATTTTCATATTTTCCAGGAATGTTCGAAAATCCAACGCCAGCGAAAATTATTTTAAAAAGAACAAAATCAAAGATATTATGAAATATTAACCATATACAAATGCGTCAAAAAATAATCGATGACTACTGTTTGTAATATCTGAATTATTTGTTTGGAATTAAAATGATTTGTTTACGATCCGAGTTCAATGTTGCATCTTTCTGAATTTGTATGGACGCTGCGTTCTTCGGTATTAGTCGTTTTTAACAATTTTCTCCTTATAGACGCAACAGATAGAAGTAAGATTAGTAGCGATCAAAAGCGCTTTTTTATCGCATTAAGCCTATACCCCCTTTCATTTTTCGCGAACACTCCCTTTAAAAAATAATTTAATTAATAAAAAAGTTCTGATCAAACAGAATACGGTGTAAAAAAAGGTTTATCATGGTTGTATCTAATCAAGATTTTAAAAACCTAGCGAAGGAGAAGAAATTTGGATTTGGGAACCCGTTAAAAGTTAGAATAAATTAGACACGAGACCACACGCGACTTCTTCAGTAATGGATCTTCAGATTGACAACATTTTATAACATTAATAATTCAATTGTGTTTTCACAATTTACAATATATATATATATAAATATATACATATATATATATATTTATAACACCCTTTTAACAATATCAGGGATTTTATCATTTCCCTTATTAAAGTGCTTCTAAGGTGCTTCGTGCCCCTTTTTAATAGTTTTAACATATTTATCTGTTGCACTGAAAGTCGCTATTTTTAATCATTTTCAAATTTTCGCGGATTTTTCAGATTTAGCTGCCTCATATTTTAAAAATAATAAAGGTCTCCATTTTTTTCCAGACAAAATTTTTAATTTTAGGGTCCATAAAAAATGTCCAGGGCCCTTTCACACTATCAACTATAGATATTAACTATGATAAACTGTTGATAAATGTCAACAGTTTTGAAGAAGTAGGATAACACATTCCTTCAGGTTTATCAAATGTAACTCTCTGAGTCCATGACAGTGGAATGAAAAATATTTTAAAAATAAAACTGTTAAAATCCAGATGTGCATTTCAGCTTTTAATTCTTCTTTTTCTAAGACATAAATGGTCAAACGATCATTAAATATATATATGATCAAATCAAATCAATTAACTTCTTAATTACAATTATTGAAACAATTATTGAAATTAAATTAAAAGTATTGAAACAAGTATTGAAATTAAAAGTAATAACAATAGTTAGTTGTCGTTACATTGTAATTACCGAATTATTTTTAAAAAATTCTTTTTCTCAAACTGATTAAAATATTTTCTAAAATCAATTTTTATATTTAAAGAAGTTTTGAAGATACGATCTAAAAACCAGAAATAATGTTTATCTTGAAATCTTTACTCTTGATTATCTGCTATAACGGGGGCTTCTTACAGATCACTGATTTCAGACTTGTTCGGAAGAATTTAGAATTTTAAGAGACTCCATTAGCATTAGAAGTAAAAACTGGTTTAATTTTGTACTGTATAGTTTTAGCAGAGGCAACAGAGAAGCATGTTATGAATTAGTAAAATAAAAGGGTTTTTAATTTTGCCAAAATGATGCAACATTCTT